TTACTCCGTATTCAACCAACCTGAGGTGACAGAATCCAGGTGTGCATTGTGTGCTTTGTGTGAGCTTTGTGGAGGCGATAAGGGAACTGAATCTGGAGCCATTGTCGAGGCACCGGCGAGTCATCGCCAGTTCTGACCTTTTAGAAAAGGATAGTAGTCTTTCTACTCGCTGCTGGCCGAGTTACTTAAGGTGAAATGAGATCAATAGCAACCAAAGAAGCACACACATCAAGCACTGACCCGACTATAAAAACATTGTAATATCTGCATGAATTCACCAGTGTTCAAAGCATCATCACAAAAAGGTTCTCACCAATACATAATGAAGGTTGTTCTTTGCTCCTCCATCATCTCTGATGCAGTGTTTACAAAACAAGACGTGGAGCAACACCGGCCTCAGGGTTTAGCTCTAATACACACGGACTGTATCGTCACTTGTGCAGCTTGAACTTTCTGTTTCATGACACAATCTCAACGCCACGCAGCTGCATCCTTTCTCCGATTCTTGCGCAGAGACTGTTTAGGGCCTCTGCCGTTCCGACAATGTACCCTGGTCACACTTTGCTTGTTTTCACAAACTCAGGCCCCACTTTTGTATTCAGACATTGTATGGGACATCTTATCCTTCTCTTCTCATTTGTCTATCCTCTCCAGCCAGCCCCTCCAAATCCGTATCCATCCATCCATCTGCCCTGAATCCACTTATATAAGAAGATAGGGTGTAAATATTTTGGTGTGGAGTGTCAGCGCATATCTCCCCCGCCAGCAACCCGGCAGCCTCAGTCCAATCAGCCGTGTTTGTTTGTTCAGCTTAAACTGTTTGTGCCTTGTTTTCCGTGGCATGCGACTCTCTCCGGCTTGATAAAGTGTCACACTTTTTCCTTTTTGCCTCTTTTTTTCCCCTCCCCCCCTCCTTCTGTGTCTGTGTTTCTTGGAAGCAAAGATAAATAAGCCTGGTGGTGCAGTTGTGTGTGTGTGTGTGTGTGTGTGTGTGTGTGTGTGTGTGTGTGGGTGGGTGCGGGGTGGGGGTGGTTGTCAAAGCTGTCAGCATGACAAGAGTTGTTCTGGCCGACAGCCTAGTGTTGAACAGCAGCCCTTTACTCCCTACAACAAACACACACACATACACACCAAACATCTGTTCTGCACACTACAGTGAGACCGTGTTATTGTGATGCAACCCATTTCTTATTGATCAACGATTGATACGCCATGTTTACGGCTACTTCCTGGAACACGAAAACATCCTGTAACGCCTGTGAAGACGTACCTGTTGAGGGCAGCTTATTTCATACCTGTGTCATCATTCCAACATCTGCTATATCCCCTAATAACAACAACTCCCAACGTGACCGAAGCCAGGAAGTGATCTGCACTGTCCAAACACAATGTCACAGCCCCTCAGATATATCCAATTCCAATGTCATGGCTGCATATCGTGCAGTCTCCAGGTGGATTTGAAAGAGTGACATTCTTAGTGGATGGCTTATTTCTTTCACGCAACCCCAACCGCCCCCCCTCCATCACACACAATAAGCAATCTGGAGATTTGTAATGGTTTGGCCCAGTGTTGCAGGGCCTGCTAATGTATTTCATGCTTGTTTAAGATCTTTGCATGCTCCTTACAAAGGTGCATTGTGATAGGTGTTCCTTATTACCCTGCTCTGTATAGAGTCTAAACACTGGGGCTGGGGAGAGTGGAGGATAGTGGGAGGGAGGGATGAATGGATGGTTGATGTGTTGTGTTTTTTTTCCAGTTCCCTCTCTTCCCCTCTCTGTCAGTCTCTTCTCACTCTCTCCTTTTCTCCCTCTGCAGCCATCTCTGCATGCCTATTAATGTAGCAGAGGAATGCCTGTGTAAACATTCTTGTTTCTCAGTCCGTTTCGCATAATAGTTGCCTGTATCGCCTTTCTCCTGACCTCACTATCTGAAACCAATTACACCAGATCCATTTGGGCTGAATCTTATTTTCATAAGGATCCCCATGTCGCGGTCTTGGTCGCTCTGTGTGTTATTTTCCCTCCTCTTGTTTTTTTCCTCTTTTCCAACCTCAGTGATGGATATCAACATCAAATATGCCTCTGAGTGCCTTGTTATTTATATAGCAGGGTCTGGCTCTTTCTCTCTCTCTCTCTGTCTGGCTCGCTCTCTCATTCTGAAGAATGTGTCACATTGTGCTGTTTATACAATGTGTGCATTAATAGACTGGGGATGTCATTTTTTCTTGCATAGCAACCCAGGTTAAATAGACGGTGCGCCTGCACTCGTCTGTGTTTTTGTCCGCTCCAGCAGCTCTTCAGCAAACTTTTGATGACTTTCCTTGGCATTTTGTGCTTTTTGTGCTTTGAGATGGGCTTCAGCTTGCCATCTCTGTGGAGTGGGAAGTGGGTGGCACAAATTGGGGCTTTTTACTGTAATGGCTGAATACTCAGAGCCAGTGAAAGCGAGGGGACAGAACTTTTTTTTTTCTCCCTTACCTTCCTCACCGTCACAAACTCTCAGAAAAATGGCTAATCCCGCTTCCACGGAAGAGGTGACAGACAGTTTCAGGCATGACAAACCACTCTGGAAAAGTTTGGCCGGTGTTGATAGGGTCTGTGTTATGTTTGGAGAAGTGCTCTTTATGCAGTCTGAGCAGACTTCTTTTCTAATAAGCCAGGTGTAGTTGATCTCTCTGCTTCACCCCTGCGCATCACCTCTCATACCCGCGCCTCCCTCGGTATTTACCTGGCATGGATATTGGAAGTGCCATTAAAAACATCTCTTTCTTTGTACTCTTGACCGTGTGTAATATATCGAGTGGCTTGCTTGACTTTGGATATAACACAGTGAGTCATTATTGATTCACACATGGATAAACATTCCTCCTGACAGCTGCGTTGGGTTGCACTCATCGAGCAGCCTTCCCTCTAACTACTGTGTGCAGAACTCAATAAACCTTATAATTACTTTGATTCACCAATCGTAGTGAGATTAATTAGGCCCTGTGTTTTAATTAATAAAGTGATTGGCTGCATTGAAGGAATTTGTTTTGTCTTTTTTTGCCTTCAGTAACAGGAAAGAGAAGTCAAGCAATGTTTGATTTCCAGTCCATTTGGAAAAAGTCCACAAGACACTGAGCTCCGTGTGCCTGTGTAGGCCTGCTTACTGCAGGTGTACTTTAATGTCTGCTAGAAGCAACTTTGTGTGTGTGTGTGTGTGTGTGTGTGTGTGTGTGTGTGTGTTTGTGTGTGTTTGTGTGTGTGTGTGTGTGTGTGTGTGTGTGTGTGTGTGTGTGTGTGTGTGTGTCTGAAGAAAGAAAGGCAATGGCTCAACTTACAGATGTCACATTACACACACACACATTCACACTCACACACATATAAACCGGTGGCGACTAGGCTCCTCTTACCAAGGAGACGGATCAATGCAGTTAGGACCAAGTGCCAGTGTAATGTGTTTGTTTACTTTAGTTCAGAAAGCCTGGCTCCTCCTGAGCACCCAGACAGACAGACCCACCTCTCCAAGAGCCCCCCCACCCCTCCTCCAGCTCTGTCTTTTCATAATTGATCAGGGGGTGGCTGCGTTCCCTGAGGGGTTAAGACATGGCAACTTTTTTTTTTTTTCCCTTCTCATTTTTTTTTACTGCTTCTCTCTCTCTCTCCGTCTTCTCCTCTTGTTTGCTCAGGATCTCAATGTACTAGTTCAAACATTGTTCCCACCAGCTGGCAGAGCTGCGCCATATGCACGCCCTGTCAAGGCAGCCGTTGTCATGGATACTGGCAAGCACCAGAAAATAAAACGAGCACCCCTGATTCCTGAGGAAGTGTCACTCTCAATCTGAGTTTTTTCTTTTTTCTTGCTTCTCCTCCTACTCGTCCTCTTCTTTTTTCATCAAAAAAGAAACACCTGTGAAGTTGTTGTGTTGTGTGTGTGCATACATGTTTTTTTTTTTTTCCCCTCCCACTTGATGCTCATGGGCCTGAAGAATACAAGGTATATGCGGCTGTGTGGAGCAGCAGCAGCAGCAGTAGTAGCAGCTGTGCACAATGTTCTTTTCTGCCAGACTCTTTCATCCATCTGCTCTTGAAGAATTGGAGTGAAGCTGCTAGCCCAGCTGCCACTGTACCTGTGAAGCTGGAGCTCGCTCGTCACACACATTCAGTACACACAGCCAGGAGGGAGGGGATCTGTAATCCCATCAAACCCAAGAAAAAAAAAATTACGCCACATCCCAGCCCCTCTGATTCTTATCGTCTCCATGTCTGGCAAACACATGAAAATGTTTTGAAGACAAATTTTACAACTAACAAATATGATTTTTTTCAAATTTTTTATACCATGTGTAAACAGCCGTGAACTAATTTCATTAGGCAGGGAAAGGTCTCTCTTTCTCTATCCGTCTGTCCATCTTTCTGTCTATCTATCACCTATCCTCTGCTCATAAGCATCCGGTAATGCATAGTGTAAAACCTGTGCTGCTAGTTAATTCACTCTAAATGTAATCTGATGTTGATTTTGTCAACTTTAATTACAGCTCCCAGGGACACTTCACATGGTGCTGCCTCTACTTCAAATTGATATTATGAATATGCAAATGTGGCGGTAATTTGCCGAGAGAAGTGGGTATTTCAGTTGAGCACACACTAGACAGGTCAATTCTACTGACGCTCTGCCTTTTTTATTTTTTATTTTTTCAGCCCACCACCCCCTCCACCCTCTTCTTCAGAGATGCTCTAGACAAACTGTATTTATCCTTGATCACAGCTCTGTGAATTGTTACTAAAACGTATCTCCAACATAGTGTTAACCACGTCAGAATGTGTTGCGCAAAACACCAGCTGATACTTCACAGGGTTTTCAGGCAGGGATGACGATTTTTGTCCCTGAAAGTTTGAATTATATCTGCTGTCAGCTGCAGGAAATCTAATAGTTTATTTTCACTGTCTCTTTTCCTCCCTCTCCTCTTTCTTTCTCTTTTTTTCACACTGCCTTTTGTCTTGTGTTCCTTTCTTCCCAGGCCCTACAAGCAGCGAGGCAATTACTCTTGCAGCAGCCAGGCAGTGGCCTGAAATCTCCAAAGAGCCAGGACAAGCAGCGTCCACTGCAGGTAAAGCAGCTCCCCGTCTAATCTCTTAAGTCCATCCATAATACATGCTCCTCCGAAAAGAAGATTTCCTCTGTTCCACAAGTGTGTTTGATTTGCCAACGCAATCCTCGGACCTGCCATTGGAATCCTAAAGCTGGACAAGCTAGTCCCCAGGAGGCAAAGCGTCACATGGACACAAGAAAAAACAAAACAGAGACAGATCTGAGAGAGCAAAATGTCATCCAAAGGCCACCTGTCTACCTTCAAGACTGCATTTTATTTGTCAAAAACTATTTACTGGACAATAATTAACACTAAAAGTATATCCAGTAGTTGCACACAGTACTGTAGGTGATGCCTTTCTACACTAGATCCATAGTGTTGACACAGGAAGATCCAGAGGTTAGTTATTATCTGAAAGACATGTCAGCCTAACTAGTGGGTTACACAGACAGCTAATTTTAACTGCCTGTCATTTCCACTCTTCAATGCTAATTTGCCTTATTGATTCATAGAGCTGTCTATTTCTGTTGTCAGTGATTTGGAAAAGGTCACACATATGCGCGCACGCACACATGAACAGTTGCACACTGACACCAAACTCTCACACACATTGAACATTAACACATTGCCTGCAATCCTCTTTCTTCCTGGTGTTAAGATTTTTTCTCACACTAGCGGGTCTTTTCATTCTGCTCGTTTAAGTCAACATTCAGTTAGTTAGGTTTTTCCTGCCTCAAATTATGTAAGGCCCCTTGACATCTGCTCCATGTTTTTATTATTAGTATTTTTTTATTTAATTTATTTTTAGCCGTTTGAAATTGAAGTGTGGGAGTTTGTGCCCTCCACTCGGCTAATAAGTACTATCAAGGAGCAGTGGTTTACCTCATTAGGGGCTCTGTGCATTTCATTAATGTCAGGGAAATTGGCGTTAACCTCACCCGTTGATATTTTCACAGAGTCTAACAATGGCGACACCTTCAATTGGAGTCACACCCCTGTGTACCTAATTACGTACTGGCGAAGAGATAAGGTTGGCGAAGACTCAGTCATGCTATTGCATTTAAATAATTCAACTCAACCTCATCAAGAGTGTTAATATTATCAGTATATTCACACACGGTGGCATCAGTTTATTTATTTGAGTGTATATTTTTTATTTAGCTGTGGGGGAAAAATTAATTGTTCATTAAACAAAAGCTCTCGGTAGCTTATTGTAGGGGTCTATTGCACTTCTCCTCTTTGGGGTTCTGTATGCCAAAGCAATGGATTCAAACAAATGGGATCCTGATCTACAAATGCCTGCATAGTCACCAAGTACAATACATACACGGCAGGAGGAACAATATTGAATGAGAGCGGTGTGGGTGCATGATAACCGTCGGCCCACGTCCAAGCCCCTGCCTCTAATAACACCAGCAGATGGTAAATATTGAATATTTACATTTGCTTACTCCATCCTTGCCTCGCATTGGCGATATGAATCAATATGAATCAGAGGGTCTGCCGATCGGCCTGTCCTCAGCCACCAACTAATCCATCTGTTGATCCAGCTTTTATTAACACCCTCACCTCTTTGTTCCAAAAAGTCTCCATGCAGAGAGTCCTGGGAGATGCACTGCCGACGCTTCGACTGATATACACTAGCACAAACAGGGCTCAGTGCATTCTGGTTCAAGATCATTTCTACAGTGGGAAGATGTTGCTGTGTGCCCTTCAATCCACTCATTTCAAATGACATTTTAGCAGTAATACTCCATTGTACAAATATCAGTATAAAGCAGTAGAAACTCTTACTTGATTAAAAATAACCTTATTTTGCTGTTCTTATTGTTCTATTTATTCCCTCTTAGCGGTGCTAGATTCTTTTTATTCTTGTCTTGAGGGAGTTTAACCAATAAAGCTGCATTATTTACCTGGATTATGAGGCCACAATGGGTGCTATATTGCAGTGTTTTGTTAGTTTCATGGCTTGATAAGAGTCAGTGGCAATCAAGCTGCATGTTTTCCACTGGAGGAATCACACGGATTGATCCCCTTGTATGATTAGCACAGTTGAAAGTGGGAAAAGGATTAATATTACCATGACATCCTGCTTATGGTAGAGATACTGATAAATCCTCTGCCAGTCTTTTTCCCTCTTGTTCTCCCATCTTTGGTATTTAAGAGCGGGAAATGATCCATAGATCATGGCATGTAAATTATTTAGTACACAAGCATCTAAGTGCCTCAGCTTGCAGTTTTAATTACGCGTATTAGCAGCTAAAGGCTCTCGCCTGACTAATTCTATCCGCTCGCTCATCGTTGCTTCTCAGTAGTTGATGATGCGGAGGCAGGCAGCTTTGGCATTCACATGCACGCACGCACACAAGTAAAAAAAAAAACAGTCCCACAAACACATATACAAACTCACACACAAGCTGCTTCTCCACATTTGCGTAATGTGACAGGTCTATTATTACACAGTAAGCCCATGGGAGCACTCAATAAACACCTATTTCTCCCTGTAAATCCCCCTGCCTCCGCCATGCTGCTTACACGGCTCTCCCAAGGCACACAACACCCTCTCGTGTCTGCTCCATTCTCCTCTGCTCCTCTCTCCCCTCGCTCTCTTCTTCTCTGTGGCAATACCACCCCCCCACCTCTGAAAGGCATTTATACACTGACATTTGGAATACAAATAAAGAAACGCGGACAAGGAGAGGCGGAGAGGATTACAGTGGCCTATGAATCTGACAGTTGTTTCACTCGTACACACACACGTACATAATGCATCTACACACACCCTGCACTCACACGCTAACACGAGCACAATGACAGTTACTTAAAGTTTTCACATTGCCAGAAGTGACTTTGTACAAGTCGTGGCTTTATTGATCATCATTGATAAGGAACAGGGCAGAGTTGGACTTAAAGCAGCTTAATACATGGTTGTTCTCCATATTTTGGAGGAATGGCTCAAGTCTCAACAGAAATCCCACAAAATCAACTGTAACCAGTGGCACCCAAACACATCCGACTATCTTACCACATCTGCTCCTAACATGTCACCCTGAGGCTGCCATTGTGACACATCCACCACCTCTATATGTCAGGTGGGCACATATGAAACAGCCAGAATGACCCAACTCTTTCTCGTGAGTGTGCCAGATGGGGGCTCGACAGTGTGAAGGTAGCCCCTGATCCCTCCTCCCAGTAGTTAACGTCAGTTCGTAACCATTGAACACCCGAGAGCTCACCCCAAGCAAGTGTTGCAACTGCTGCTCTGCCCCTTTCACACTATCAAACTGTGAATACCTTTTTTACAAGACTAATAACCTCAGTCCCCATCTGTGCTATGCTGCGCTCTAAGTATGAATGAAAATATTTAAGGTTTTATGGTTGGCGTATGGATCGGGAGAGATGTTGGTCTAGCTCTGTTTTTTGTAAATTCTACAGCTTCCTTCCCAGCCCAGCCAGATTGCTTTTGGGCACTGGGCCATCTTAGGAAGTGTCACACTTTTTAAAGGTCAGGTCCACACTTTCACCACTGAGCCAATATCACCTCGATAGCAGCATTCATCTGCTTATTGGCTTTCATCTGGAACACACACACAGATGCAGGGAAAAGGGCTGCGACGCTAGGCTTGAGTATAGGTTAGCTGACTCCAGCGTGCGTGGCTAAAGGATGGTATTTCACATTTACATTTATGAATATATCTTTCCACTGCATCCCCTCTGGTTGGATCTGAAAATAGAGAAAAATTATCACTACGAAGGGGAAAAAAGAGAGGGGGAAAATATTATGTTATTCATGAGGAAAACTTCTGTTGACTCTGAGAGAGAAAGAGAAAAAAAAAAACGTCAGCACATTTTAAGTCAAACACCCTTGGTTACTGCTTTTGTAACCAGAAAACAAGATTTTTTTTCACTCCCCATCTCCCACACCCCACCTCTCTTTTTTTCCCTGCATTTACAACACCTACAGGACAAGATTGCTAAATTGCGAGGACAGAGCAGGTTCATCATTGTGATGCAAAAGAAGTTGAAATGCAACCCCAAGGCGAGGTAGCTGAGTTTGGTGGGGGATCAAGAGAAAGTGAGAGGGAGGGAAGGGTAGCACAAAAAAAAAGTAGCTGAGACCTTTGATGTAGCAGCAACAAATTTACCTTGTGACAGAAGATACATGGGTGCAATAAACGAGTTATACCAGCCCTTACACATGCAATCAGATGATTCTGGCCAGGGTGTTAATTGGATCCTAACCGGCAGATCTGATACGCCTGGGCCCCGGTGGTGAGGGGGAAAGCCTTTCCAAGTGATGAACTATAATTCACTGAGCTGCTTGAAGCACTTGTAATTTACTGTGTGTCACTGATGAAGAGGCTGATCCAGTGGAGGCCATATTACCTGCAACATCAGAGGGAAGTGTCTACCCCCCTCTCGCTCTCACTTGTGCTCTCTCTCTCACTTTCTTTCTATTTCAGCACTCTCCTCCCTCTGCACTTTCTTTTTTTAATTCTCTCCCTCTCCCCCTCTATCTGTCACTCCCATTTACTCTTGAAATATGTGCACCTGCAGGGAGGCATCAGTCGGGGGCGAATTGTGCCAGTTTAACGATAAAGGTGCGACAATTTGTACCGATAATGACACAAACAATGTTCACAAGCGATGTGACGCTGCTACAGTGGTGTACACTACATTCGAGAGGCTTAATCAATGACTATCTGCATGTCGAGATAAATCAATATGGAAATTGTGCTAAGCCCGTCCCAATCTCCTCAGGCTTTTTATTAGAGGCTTTTACATGATGGGTCTTTATGTTATGATAAATTGCACTTCCCATGCACTGCTGCCAAACTGCTATGGAAATTGATTTAGGAAAACATTCAGTAATCCACTTAGCTTCAGTCCTGACAATCTAGAGTATTGATCTCCCTAAGCTGAAAACACGACATGTGTTAGAGTGAACGCGGCTCACATGCATGCACTTCTTGGGGACCAACATACTTGAACTTCAGAGCGAGACACTCACCAGGCCGGCCGCGCTGTAGCCTTGGTGGTCCTTTAGTGAAGAGTCCCAGCTATCAATAATCGCGTGGCCATATTTGGCAGTAATTGGCTAGTAAATGAGCAGTGTCAGCTGAAAGGGAGTTGAGAGGTCAGAAGTCCACAAGCTCTGAGGCAGGGGAGGTCTGAGTTTTGGCCCGTCATCCCCCCCCAGAGATGCTCAGTAGATTGAGATGAAATAGGGGACGGGAGGTGGCGGTGGAGGGGTTTCTCTCTCTTTTTTTTCTCGATTTCTTTCTGTGTGTAAAACGAAGCTTGTGGCTTAATTAGCAGTGACTTTCCCTGCCAAGGATCCACAGTAATTACCGACTAGGACCCTTCCATTTCTCATTGCATTTATCTTAGCAGTGTCTGTAGCTGCAGCTCATTCCCTGTCCAGCACTACAGGAACAAACTGTCATTGATAACTGCACCGTGTTCGTTGCCCCAACAATGTTTATGGCCGACATCTAATCACCAGTTTCCCTCCTGCTTATTACTGCTAAGTGAATTGTATGGAAGGAAATCGAATAAAAGGAATTCCTCTCTGCTGGACTTTAATTGTTTAAGTTTGAACTCTGATACAGCACTTATCTCCTGCTTTAGGTAATTTGAGTTCACTCATAAAAACTCACGGCTGTAAAGATAAAGCACCACACAGTGGAGTGGACGTAATCGCTGGAAGTGCATTTGTCCATCGGTCCAGATAGTTAGAGGCAGACAGCTGTGTTATCCAGCCAGTGAGCAGCATACAGTGGAGACGCAGTGTTCTGCATTTAATGCTAGAATGCCCAGTTAAATCAAACATAACAAGAGACTGGGGTGCCAGCTTTGCCTGGAAGAGATACCTGAACACTCTGTGGAAGAGCTTGACCTTTTGCGAGGTATTGGAGAGGCTGGTTACAGGCTGCGGGTGTGACAAGAGTGGTGTAATGATCTGCTTGTTCTGGTGAGGGCCCCACCAGTGTTTTCACATCAGGAGCCAATTTAAAGGTCCTTTGTTTTGCTCTCCAACTTTGAGGGCATGCCACATGGCTTCAAAGTTCATGTCAATACAGCTCATCGTTCTCTTTAAGACAAGGGACATAAACAAATATGGGTTCAAATGGTGAACACACTTAATCACGAGCATGTTTTTCACAAATGGCTGCAAAGCAAGGGTTACGTTCAAATAACTTGATCAAAAGTAATTTGGAAACTACTGTCTTCAATCCAAATTTGCACTATTAAAAACAGGAAAAGCACCCTTTTTGTTATTAAGGTCCCAAGTGGCCACATCAGCTGCAGCTAATTTCAAACTATTTTTAAAAATCCCATTAAAAATTGTTGTGCACCAGTGTTGGAAATATATCCTTTTGGATTACATAGGAACAGAGGCACAGCCCAATTGGATATCAGGGCTCCTCTCCTATGAAAGAGAGTCTATTCACGGTGTGTGGATGTTTACTCCACTGCCATCGTCGAGTAAATGCTCATTAATTTTATCCCTTCGTGGCAAAATCATTTCTAGGAGAGGCAATTCAGCCTCCTGTTCCTTTCAATTCACCGCTCCCGTCAATCAAGCCCTCCTGCAGTATCCTGCAAAATGGAGGTGTTATATTCCTGCAATTATCATGTCATATACTTGAAAATGTAAATGAACGTGTGTGTAAAATTAAATTTATGGGTTGTCAGTGAAGAATAAGAACCAGGAGAGCAATTACTTATCTGCTTTCATCTTGGAGCCTCTGATACGTCAAGCAGAAAAGCATGCAGTTAAATGCTGGAATTAGCATTGTGCTGCACTTCACAATGGACCTGGGCCAGTGCCTTTTCTCCCTTCTCTTTCTTCTTCCTGCCTTTTCTCCCCTTGTCTTCCCCTCTTTTTGTTTGGAACAGTGGTGAAATGAAGATGATTATCACCCATTACATCTCTAAAAAGCTAATATAAGTGTAAGAGTAACTTCCCAATTTCATAACCTGTTTGTTTGCTATTTTGCTATTTTTCTGCTGTTCTTTGTTAAAGTCTGTATCTGACTGCGAATGCCTGTATTTCATCACTTACAAGCATTTGAAGAACAATGCAGAATTTCTATTTAATTCCACTTTACATATGCATGCGCATACATTTGTATTAGATCCTACATGTTTAAGCCTGCATCCCTTTTGTGAACCAAAACATCTTTTAGCCAGCATCCAATTAATAGTCTTAATGAGTGCATCACTCATGTTGTTTCTCAGCTGCACTCGTCCCATTGTCATGGCATCCAACACAAAACCAGGAGTGACTGCGGGGGTAATTACTTACCTAGCAAATGTACCTTTAAGGGTTAATAACATTGAAGGTGTAAGCACAGCATTTGCATAATTACACACGGACTGTTTAATTTGCAACTTTTGACGGCTTTTGTTCAGCACCTCGCTTATTGTGAATGCATTTTCTTTTTGCACTCTTGCATAGAGGAGTCCAGAGAAGAAAAGAGATGTACCACAACATCCTCCTCCTCCACCTCTCCCACCTTAGATGGAGTCCCTTCTCTCTAAGACCCTAATGAACAATGGAGGCAGGATTTGTTTGAATATGAATATGAATGTGCAGCGGGGCCGGCTGGAAGTTGACCTTCAGCTGTGATTTTCAGTTCATCAGGATTAGTCAAGGCGGGCGATCAGGAGCCACTAATGCATAATGACTTCTAAAATGAAAAATGTGTAGTGACCATGCAAATGTCTCGGCTAATCAAAGAGGGGGGAAAACCTGGGGTGGGGGGTGGGCGTTGAGGAGAGGAGAGCTAAACAAGGACGTGTCAAGGCCTGACAGAGAGAGAGGGAGAGGGAGAGAAAGAAGGAGCGAGGGAGGAGAGACATGCATGGAAAGTAATCAAGGCAGCTTGATTAGCTGGCGATGAGGACAGGGATGTCTTATTGGCCCCTTGACACGCCATATAGGCTAGCTACTGTCATGGCAGCTCTATGCCAGACACTGTCGCAATTAGCGTCCGTGAAGGTTTTACTACATGTTGATATTTTAATTGTGTTATAGTATCATAAAGGTTGTCAGTCAAGAATCTTTGTTGACAAGATACAACATTCGGCCCTAATACATGTTAAAACTCACTAGAAATATCAAACTATTTTGTGTCTTAGCTTGACTACATTACATTATAAAAGGCAGAACGGGAAGGAAGAGGTGATTTGAGTCATTTCAGTCAGTCCGTTGAAGTGTGTCAAGGTGAATCAACTGGTGCAATGTGTGGTTGCCTTGTGTTGGATACTAAATCATTCACTCATGTTGATTTTATTTTCCGTAACACTACTGAGAGGTAAACAGAATTGAACAGTTATTATTTTCTCTCTCCAAAAGTTGTTAAATTTTTAAGCAGCCACAAGAAGCCTAAACTCCATAATATGACTGTTAGCCCACACTCCCCTGTTGGAATGTGTGCATACTATCAAAGACCGAAGGGAAACATATCCTTTTTTCCATTGATCTGCTGCCTCAGAAGTCGCTTGTGCTTCTGTCTTTAGAAGAATTTGCCGGAAATACAGGATATGTATCTTTGTTTTGTTTTGGTGAACTGACAGCTTGTGTTTTAATAATTACCACCAAAAAGTGACATAAATCTTTCAAAATGGCATGTTGGCAGAGAGCAATAAACACTTGTGCTTTTGGCTGCTTGTGTGAAGATGTGAAACTTGAAAAACTTGTTCACTGGAAAAGAAATTTAGTAAGAAAAAAAAACAATAAACTCCGTACTACATTTCTCATCACACTTCCCTCCCTTCCAGCATAAAAAATGGCTTTGGATGAACCCCCAACCTCCCAGCTGCCACCTATTACATCTTGCTGATGTGTCCACTTCATCAGTGTAGTTTGAATCAACTTTATAGAGTTGTGCATTTTCACTGTGTTTCATAATAGCAGTACTGATAGGCATGCTAAAGTGGGGGAGTTCAAGGGTCCTGCTAATTAAGGTCTATGTCTATTTAAATCTCGCACTTTTCCCAGCGGGGTGGAGGCAGAGCAAAATAAGATGAGCAACACAAAGGCACAGCACCCATCTGTCCTTCAGCATCTCCTCTAGGCTGCCAAGCGTCGCGGCCATGGGAGGCCTGCTCTCCCTACCTCTCAGTCACCAATTACCACACTCCCAGTAGATCCATGCCAGTAGGCCTGACGCACGTCTCTAATGATCTATTTTTCCAACTTTCTCCTTTTTTAACTCGTCCCTCCATCCATTTCACTCCTGTGCTTTCATTGTTTACCCTTCTCTCTTCTCCTTTCTTAATTCTCACCCACTCTATTGCTCCTTTTCCACCCAATCCTGTCCATCGCCCGCACCCTTATGCCCGTTTCTTACTTTCCACAATCTCTCATCCTCCCTGTCCAGGTTCCAGTGTCAGTGGCCATGATGAGTCCCCAGGTGATAACGCCACAACAGATGCAGCAGATCCTCCAGCAGCAGGTCCTTTCCCCCCAGCAGCTCCAGGCCCTGCTCCAACAGCAGCAGGCTGTAATGCTGCAGCAGGTACGCACACACTCACGCTTAGATACACGCACCCTTAGACAAATATTTAGGCACAAACACTGCGGCGCATGCAGACACACGCACACCTAGATGCAAGCCGCACCCCATCAGCAGTTGTGTTGTAGATGCACACAAACTCATTGTGATCTAGATACACAGACACCACGGACACATGATTACCCACATCTGCAAACATATATACCTACACCCCCATTTGGCATGACTTTCTGGTTTGTGCAAACATACACGAAACACACACTTATACCCCAACACAATCCTGAGTCACTTCCGTGCTCCGGTGTATTGTAGCCACCAGCCGCTCATGCCAACTCACCGCAGTCCTGTGTCCTTGACACGCTTACCAAGAGGAATCTGAAATTGACGTACTTGTTTGTGTCACCTCTAATTAATCGTCTCCAGTGTGTCGCTGGTTCAATTCCCTGACAAGCATCCATCAGGGACTGAGAGAGTAGGGCACAGTTGGGTTGAGCACCAAAAGTTGAATGATAAGCGGTGGATGATGTAATATTTGGAATCAGCTTGAGAAAGCACACACTTGGCACAGTCTGGTGTCAGAGTTGAAATGCATTTCTCATTCATAGATTTGATTAAGGGTAAGAGAATGGTTTAATTAAAAATGTCATTCTGATTATTCCTCTTCATTAAGAGCCCTCAGACTCTAGATTTGGTTTCAGCACAATGCCATGCCTTTACATTACCCTTTTCACAGCAACTAAAGCCACTTTTTTGTTTACGTATTTTTTCTACACTTCAATAAGGATTATGTCTTAACAGAGCGAAGCACCTTAAGTGGAATTTGCTATACAGCACATTAAGTATCCATAATCCTAAATTGACAGGAATCACAAGGTCAAAACTTGTCCTCAGTCAGCAAAGAATGAACTTCTGTTATTGATTATGTATGTTCAAAACTTTTTTGCAATTGCTACAAGGGCAGCCATTCCTTTATGATATTAGTATCTGTGAAATAGTGTGGATATTTCTATGGTAGTTAGCAGAGAACTGGACCGTGCGCTCCATTGGCGTGCTTCATGGACTTCTCTTCCAGGCCAGAAAGCCATCTGAAGATAACATGAAATAAAACTAAAATCATTGTCTAAATATCTGTCACGGTATGTGTGTTAAAGGAATCAGTTCAATGTAGCGGACCTGTTCCAGAGAGGGTTTATTCTGTTTATTTCAGCCACTCCAAAGGAAGCCAGTGCACTGTGGCTGCCAAATGTGTAGTTAATATGATGAATTGTTGCCCCCTACAGTACTGTGGGACTATTAAAAGTCCATATGGAGAGGACTGTGAAAGACAGCTAGGATACAAATGCCAAAAGCAGTAGAACATTTTATTTATAATGTGCAACAGTTTCTCCATAACCAACATGTGAAGTACAGCTGGAGCAAGCAGGCAAGATTAAGACAAAATGTTTAGTTTATAAGAGATCTACGTACTTTGAGGGTTTTTGCAAGTAAATCCATAAGTTGCACATCTTTGAGCAACCCTGCTTCATAGCCTATGAATAATACAACATTATTTAAGTATCTGTATAAGATAATGTAAATGTGTACTTAGACAAATGAGTATTAATGTATCATCTTATTCTGTGTTTACAGCAACACCTGCAGGAGTTTTATAAGAAACAACAGGAGCAGCTTCATCTGCAGCTTCTCCAGCAGCAACACCCTGGCAAGCAGGTTAAAGAGGTACGGGCACCACATACACACACACACACACTCACACTTCCGATGAGATTAGTGAAATTAAAGTAAATCTATAAATCCATTCTCATTTTGTCAACCAAGAGCATACATTTGCCTTTGTCTGTTCACTTCAGATGAAGGATTTATTGATCTGTAATTGAAAAAAAATCAGCTGGTTAATTTGTTATTAGCGATTACCAACTTTACTTCAGTTCCAGCTGCCTTCACGCAGTATGGTAACCCGGGCACTGACTCCATTAATAAATTCTTTCAAGTGACGTACGCACAGTACGCATACACACACACTCACACATTCTCACTGATTTATAGAAAGAGAGACCAGAGACAAAGGGTCCTGGGTCCAACTCGTTAATGAACTGTTTCCGTAGGCGTACAAACACACACAAACACACGCACCACAGCTAAAGTTACAGCGCACAACTCTCATAAATCACAGTGACGGGCAGCCGGTCGACAGGCATGGCTCCGTCTCGTTCTCTTTAGCTATCAGAGAGGAGGAGATGAGCATGACAGCCTTAGCCACATTTGCGTAGCTGTGTTTGAGTGTCACACGGCACTGAACCCTGAGAGGCAGTCCAGGGCCACATCCAGGCAATACTGTACGTGTGGAGGCAGTTAAATTGATCAGAAAAAAAAGGCATCACATAAACACACACACACACACTCGTCTTTCTTTTCTCTCTCTCTCTCTATCTGTGTTGCACCTCTCAGTTTCTCCTCAAGCAGCCCATTATGCTGCCCCTACAGGAAGCCGCCACTGACCTCCCGGCGGCTTTGTTTCTGTTTGGATTTGCGAATAGAGTTTTTCAGGGGCCCCCGCCATCAAATATGGAATAGAAATTGCTCCCTTATTTCTCTTGAGGCGGGGGGGGCGCCCTCCATCACTCCATTATGCAGCCTGTTTTCCAGTGAGCGCATCACAAGTTTTACCCCCTCCTGTCCCTCCACATCCATGCTTTTCCAGGTCCAACATAATACAAACACACAGAAACACATGAGCGTGACATGCTGTATGCACATACACATGTATATGAACAGGAGAGGAGAGCGAAAACTGAAAAACTTTAAAAACTAATATATATGCGTCCCCTCTTTTGACAATACTGACTAGAAAGACTGAATATATTCCCTCAAATCTAATAGTGTGCACTTCTAGCCAATTATTACCTGAGTTGTGTGTTTCAAAATTAATTTAATATAGGCATTTATGACATTCCAGCTCAGATTCAAAGCTTTTGTGTCTCCCTAAAATTCACTGCCTCTCGGACTTGTTTTGCCGCGGTGACTGAGTTTGATGTTTTTCATTTTGTTGTTGTTTTTGTTGTTGTTTTGCACAGGGCTTACGCAATCGGCTGTCTGGCCCGGCGATAAACAACTCTGTGAGGCAGCAAGGAGAGCAGAGAGTAGGGACGGGGGGGGTGAAGCACTGTGCATGTGTGTTTGTGAGTTTGTGTGTGTGTGTGTGTGTGTGTGTGTGTTTGCACTTGTGTGTATGCATTCACACGCACGTGATGCTGTAAATCTCTCATTCTGCCAGCTCCCTCTGGCCACATAAGCTGTAACAGACCATCAGTGAAGGCGAGACAATTAACTATCAGGGGTGGTGGAGGGGGGTGGGTTGCGGGAAGGGGGATTATACCAGAGGCTTAGTATCATACACAATCACAAGCCACATACACTGACAGGCTTGAGAGCTGGTATATCAGAACAGCTTTGTGTCTGTGTATGTGCGCTCACAGACGTGAACACACTCAAAGAGAGGAGAAGGCATCAGCGCTGTGGTACAGCCCAAAAAACAGGAGGGAAGACTAAGTGAGCACAGACAGAGAGGGAGAGCGTGCAGAGAGACAGAAGAAGAGGCAGAGAGGTATAGCTAAGGTCACGGCAGAGGCGAGTGAGTGCAGACTCTCCACACACACTTACACACACAGCACAAACACCGCTCCGTCTTCTCTCCCCTCTCCCTCTCTCTCAGTTGTTAATTCGTCTGTAATTTCCTCTCCTCTCCTCTCCTCTCCTCTCCTCTCCTCTCCGCTCCTCTCTTGCTCCTCTCTTCCTCCTCCTCGTCCTCTCTATAGCAACAGCAGCAGCAGCAGCAGCAGCAGCAGCTGGCCGCCCAGCAGCTCGTCTTCCAGCAGCAGCTCCTGCAGATGCAGCAGCTCCAGCAACAGCAGCACCTGCTCAACATGCAGCGGCAGGGCCTGCTCTCGCTGCCCGGGCCCGCGCCCGGCCAAGCCGCCCTGCCTGGACAAACCCTGCCCCCACAAGGTAAGAGAAGGAGGAGAAGGGTGGAAGAGGAGGAGGAGGAGAAGGAGGTGAAGAGAGGAGAAGCAGTGTGAGGAACAAGGAGAAGGGGGAAATGTGTTAATCCTGAGCATGTGACTTGCAGTTGTGGTGGTCACATGCTTCCTGTGTTTTGTCTGCAGGTGTAAGTGTCTTCTCATGTCACTGTCATTGTCTCTTCCCGCTGTCAGATTTCCATCATACATCTCCAACCTTGTCTGTCCCACTCCTCTTCTGTCTTTCCATCCTGCCTGTCTTTGTTTTTCTCATTTGTATGCACCTGTGTCCCCCTGCGTTATCTCTAAGTATGTCTGTCTGTCTGCCTTCCCCTCATTGGTATGCTCTTCTGCCATCCACTTTGTCCCTAACTCTCCACATGATCATTTTGTTTAGTCTTCCATTCTTTCTTTTTCTGTCTTCTTGTCTGGCTGTGGCTTTCTTTTGTCTACCTCTGTTTCTCTCTCAGCTCTGCTCTGCCTATGTTTGTGTTTGTTGTTTTTCCATCTCTGTTTCTATTCCCCTGCTCCCCAACCTCCCCTCCTTCCTTCCTCGGTGGTTGTTGTTGTTGTTGTTGTTTACTGCCTTCACTGAGAGCCAGGGAGAGGAGAAAGAGAAGAAATAAAAGGACAGAGAGAGGGGAAAGCAGGCTCCATTTTCTCCTCCTGAGCCAAGTAAACACCTATGTTTGTTGTTTACCACCAAAATGGCGGAGACAGAAACAACACGCAAGGAGATGTTAGAGGGAAATCAAAGGAGTGAATTTTGCCTAATTAGTTGCCAAGCTTAAAAACAAGCAGTGGACAAAGCTCAGGTGGAACGCAAACACATTCACTGTAATCAATGTTTTATAGTTCTTCCTCATTGAAATCCCACGGATCTTTGAGACTGAGGACTACACAAGTGATCTTTTAAAAGGTTCAAATCAGTATCTAACTGGGTAGAGGAGAAGAACACACTTGTTTTTATTGATCGGCACAGTATGAGTTCAAACTCAGGTCTGCAGTGAAGCAGCACGGGATGATAGTCACTCACTGAGGGGAAGGCCTTGAGTCATGCAGTTTTATATAACTTTTCTGGCTGTTGGATAAAGTATGCAGAGTTTAAGCTTGAGCTCAGTACTATGTTTTGCATTTAGTTAAGCAGCCATATTGATACAGTATACTGTACTAAGTTTAACTGTCCCTTCTTCATCTTTCTTTCCCTCACCTCCTCCCTCCTCAACCCACTTTTGCTCTCCTTTCCCCTACTCTCCTACTCTCATCCCCATCTTTTCTTTTTTTGCTTTCTCCAGCAGGCCTCAGTCCCGCAGAGCTCCAGCAGTTGTGGAAGGACGTGACCGGAGGCGGCGGCCACGGCATGGAAGACAACGGCATCAAACACAGCAACAGTGGCACTGGCAGTGGCGGGGGTGGCGGTGGCGGCTTAGACCTCTCCACCAACAACTCTTCTTCAACTACCTCCTCCTCCAATCCCGCCAAAGCATCACCGCCCATCTCTCACCATTCCATTGCCAACGGACAGTCCCCCGTCCTGAACCACAGAAGAGAGAGGGAAAGGGAACGGGAAAGGGAGCGAGAGAGGTAAAAATAATTGAAATGTCACCCACCCACCTTTTTGATACACCAAGGAAATAAAAGCAGAGAATATGAAAAGTTTGCAGCAGCATGTTTTCTACCCGTCACACAAGCTTTTTTGTGCCATGATTCAGTGTAGGAACAAATCATAACTCCCATATAGAGTATTTGTCCTCGTTTAAAATAACAGCATTGTTACAACAGGGAAACATGATGTTTTGTTTATTTGTTCAATAGTTTATTAGTGTCTTGGTAATATTCAAAAAATAAGAAGCCTTGTTCTCCCAGGGGACCACGTGCGCCATTGAACGCACTTAGCTTGCATACAGATATCAAAAGCAGGGAGAGGAAGCCATGCAGGCAGGCGTACTTACAACAAGCCTCTCTGGCAGGCAAGACAAGGTAACCTCCTTGTACATTAAGTATTTAGTGTTTTCTCTCTTTTTTTTCCTCTTTTGAAAATTACCTTCCTTGCTTGCTTGTCATGTAAACAGAATATGTGATGCCTTGAGTGGCGTTTCCAGGATGTTTATCCTTGTGATGGCGTCTTTTATAAATGCACCCAGCACCAAAACACTGACTGTTCACATATCTGCCTATCTGGCCCATGCATTATTCAAAGGCTTTTCTTGGGCGATATTATAATAAGGACTTAGGGTAGCGGTGTGTGTGTCTGTGTGGATGCTCGGTAGAGACTCACACTGGAGGTGGAAGTGCTGTGTAATTGGTTTAAAGTAGATGCTATCTCTCCAGTACCACTAAAAGGAGGCTTGAAAAAGATACCTTCAGAAGGAAGACAGAGAGAAAGAAAGACTTAGGGAGGGAATGAGAAGAGAAGGAAGAAAAAAATACTTTTTTTATCTGCCTGTGTCCCAAGGGGTGTGTGGTGTCTCATAATGATCGAACAAGGAGTATTGTCAGGAGCACTGCTTACTAACATGCCACAGATCGATGTGGGGAAAGCCCCCTCTGTAAAATACAGTGTGAGCTCACACACACACACACACACACACACACACACACACACACACACAAATATATTCATGGCCCACACATATAGGCATGCATGCACATAGTCATCGACCACACATGCACAGGCATGAGATATAAGCAGACAAACACACACATACACTGTACGCAGCACACTTGCATTTTCTCACGCAGGCAAACGCACACACACCAGTGCCAAGCCTAAAGGTTAAACTGTCATCTTTAATAGGATGTGCTGTCTAGGCAGGGTCGTAACTTATTTGGGTGCCATTTGAAAAACGCCAGAGCACCCCTGCTCCCCTTGTCCTCAAAGAACATAAGTTACACAGAGTATTAATCTCCTGATGAAAATTATATGGCTGTCTGGATTTTTAATGTTTACTGGAAAGCGTCCACCCCTCCTCCCCCATAATAGCTTTACAAGAAGGGATGGTGGCTGTGGTGGAGACAAAGCTACGGCTCACTCTAGATTTCCATGGGGGGATGTTAGCTGGAGTCACACTTTAGTCTCCACTGTCTCTAAGTTAATGAAGTTGCATAGTATTTAGATGAGAGGAGAGGAGGTGAATATGTAGATATGGTAGCACACTGAATTAGTTTGAATCAGCCTCTGTCAAGATATTTGTATGTTTCTCTTGTACTCTGTCTATCCTATTTATTCTTTGTTAGTGAAGAATTCTACTGAACTGATCTGTTTTGACGCCTTTCTTGACAATTGTAACCTGACATGCACAGACCTCCTCAAACTTGATGCTACCATCCCCATCTGACCCCCTCCCCTCTCTTCTCTCTTTCAGTTCACTACATGAAGAAAGTGGAGGGACCCACCCCCTGTACGGCCACGGTGTGTGTAAGTGGCCCGGCTGTGAAAACATCTGTGAGGACTTCGGACAGTTTTTGAAGTAAGAGCACGCCCTGTGACATAGATGTTGCGCTGGAGATGATGCCTCCTCACCTCTCCCTGTTAACAGCATGTGGAATTGTGCACGTCTGTATGAGAAGCTAATATCTATTTTATTGTGAAACACACAAAAGTTACCCCTCTACACCACAGCACCTCCTCCTTTCTGTGGGTACAGAGGGGCCTAACAAAGAAAACATCACTGCCTTTCAAAGAGCACATTTTGACCTTCCAGACAGCCAGTTGACAGGGTTGAGCTCTAGCAGCACAGGATTCAAACCAACTCTGATCCATAACAAATCTCCTTCCCGGTGTGGAAGGGCCTGATAGGTTTGTGAAAAAGCGTCAAAAGCTAATGGCAACTCGCACGGCCGCACACTTACCTCCACAACAAAGGCCCCCATTCACTGTTGTCATGGTGCAGGCGCCAGAGCGAATGAACTCTTCATGCTCCATCAACAATTTAGTTAATTAGCTCATTTGTAATTGGCCGGCTTTGTTGCCTGGATGTTAGTGGGGGGACATCAAAGGAAGAAGGTGTTTGCAGCACTGCCGATTACAGGTTATCACATTGCCACTCACTGAGTCTCTCTCTCTCTCTCTCTCTCTCTCTCTCTCTCTCTCTCTCTCTCTCTCTCTCTCTCACTCTCTCACTATCACTCTTTTCCTGGCTCCCTGCTCTCACACAGAGAAGAAAAGAAAGGGAAAGCTTTAATTTGAATATTCTAATTAGATTTGTAATTAACTGTGAAATAACGATCTGGTGAGTGTTTTTCACGGGCTGTAAATGTCCATGTGAATTCGCATAAACTCTTGAAATCAGGACATTGTTCCGGCGTATTTTCCAAATTATGCATTTCTCTACAGTAGTGACGGTAATAAGTTGCAGAAAGCAAAAAAAAAAAAACTGATAGAAGAAACTAGTCCACCCATTTGGAGCTGCTGTAGGATTTAGGTCAGGCTTTTACTAATTCTACAGCAGCTTATGAATTAAAACTAAAAGGTATATCTCTGAAAAGAAATGACTCTAATAAACATAGTGTTTACATTGTGTCTTTGAAAGACACTTCCAGACATGGCATTAAGCTGGATTTTCACACACATTCAACACATACAATACACTCAAAGGAACCATAATTGACAGCGATGGATTTAAATGAATCAGAGGTGAATATATATGACAACTATAGCCTGGCAAGTGTGTTTGCTTATCCCCTGTGGAATATGTGCCACATACACGTCAATGTCATTATCCATTTGTCAGCAGAGGACATACTGTAGCACATTCGTAGGCATCACCTTGTATAATTTTACAAGCCATGCTTATGAAAAGCCAGTTTGCTGCATGCAGTGCGTTGTCCAGGCCGGACTACATGTTCACTAGTCCAGGTAGAAGAGTTTGCCTTGCAGCTTGGGAACAAATGTGTGTGTGAGAAGGCAAGCATGTATCGGATTAGCAGGCTTTTGTGATATCTTGTCCTATCACCTCAGTACACTTACTTAAAGAAGACATCAGCCTATCCCTCTGCACTGTACGCTCTGTTCACATGCAAACAAAACCTAAGTCTGTGTGCTCTAAGGATACTGTGTCTAGGTAGCTTAGCTGGTTATTTAGGTGAGGGGCAGAGATGCACTGCATAAAGCCATGTGCCTGCGAATCCAGTAAGCTGGCAAGCCAATGCAAAAGGATGCGTGGTTGTAAAGACAAACTGAGAGCGCGAGAAGACCGACAGGGAGAAAACAGTTAGCTTTTAAACTTGAAAGCGAGAACACAGGTTGGCAGATGGTTTTGTAAGAACGCTTGCCAGAACATTGGCTGCTACAAAACAGAACAGTGTCTTGGTTCAGCCCCCCACCCCTTTTACACATCCCTGCAAGTCAGAGGCTGGCTCCATACTGTAACCCAGCCAGCACATGAAAACAGGCACCAACAAAGAAGGCAGACTCGTCATCAGAACAAAGATGGCTGCTCGGTGGCGTGCCTTGGAGCAGTGATTGTCGGTGTCAGAGGGAGTCCTTTTATGTTTCCGGAGATGCCAGTCGGCTGCACACACACACGACATGCACATGCACACACACACAGGCACAGTTTAAACGGGGTTACATAAAGCGGGTGTCAGATTTAGATGACAGTTTAGATGTTGGTAGTTGGGTGTGGGTTGCGTGTGCGAGGAGGAGAGGAGAAGGCGTGGGGGGCCCAAGTCAAGCTGGCGTCTCACAGCTCGCTGTAGGAGCTCAGCTCAGCGGCAGTGACACGTTTAGTCATCTATTGTTTTGTTGCATGAAGAAACTTGTCAAGATCAGCATTTAATAGCTCTTCAGTGTGCTTTTAAGTGTTCTCACCTGGAAAAGGTAGCCGCGAGGTGGCTGGCACCCTGAATTAGCTCTCTGAAGTTCAAAATGAAATCATATTGCTGGGAATGTTTCTTGAGTGGTGGGTGTTGGGGTTTGTGTGTGTGTGTGTGTGTGTGTGTATTTGTGTTAGTTACACGAGAAAGAGAGAGGGAGAAACATTAATGCTAATAGTGCATGTGCTGGAGCTATTTTTGTGGTAAACCAAAAAATAGAAAACGCAATTAATGCTTGAACATTTAGCACTTCATATATATCATTTGTTTTTCTGTGTAAGGCCATATTTGTCTGTATAGAACCTCCTTCTTACTTACTGCAGTTTTTGTATAAACCACTACACTAACTGATGTAAATCACTCCTGATTTCACGCTTCTCTCAGCTTTAAAAAAAGAAAACTTGATTATCATATCCAGTTTGATACATACATATATTGTCACCCCTGCTTTGGCCTTTCACCCCCGTACATCAATGTCCTCCCACCTCAATAAGATACAGTTTTTCTACACATAAACATACTTGCTCTCACACACACGCACACACACGTGCACACTCACACACATACTTAACTCCTTCCACTCTCTGTCATCACTCTACTCCCCTTATTACTGGCAGGAAGGCAGGCTCCATGTTAAAATGGCAAGCTCAGCCGCTAACCTGAACGCTGGTGTCTGTAACCCACTGCTAATTAAACCCACAAGGCAGCAGCCAAGTGTCTTCTTCTCTGCGTAACGCACACACACACACACACACACACACACACACACACACACACACACACACACACACACACACTGTGGAGGCAGGCAGGCCCCTGGCCCCTGGATAGCTGAGCTCCCCTCCACATGTCTGCTGCACTGTGACAAGACCTTTAAAACGGAGGGCATTACTTATGCACCACCACCATGGGGAGAGAATGTGTGTGTGTGTGTGTGTGTGTGTGTGTGTTTATATACATATATACGTGTATGCTTGCGTATATGTGCTTGTTTATGAATGTTAGTGGGTGCAGTGTGTGTGTCTGTGTGTGTAGTTGCGTATGGCTGTGTCTATGCTTTTTCGTGTGTACATTAGTTTGGTGTGTGTTTGTGTGCCACGTGTAGACAGTTACGGGGCCTAACTTGCTGTTCTCTGCTGGGCCTTTGTAGCCCCTGATAATACACACAGACAATTAGCAGAAGTATATCATCCAGATATGCTAGCTTGAATAGATTTATTATTGGGCCCTTAGTGGACGTTGATGGCCTATACATATTCATACACACAGCTGTGGGGGAAAACCTTTGAGGTGTTTTGTTCCCTTCTCTTTAAGAGAAGAGAGAAACTGCAGCGTCCAATAAAAAAATATGTCTTTATCTGGGGGCTGAAAAACAACGGCTCTCCCTCCCCCTCATCCTCTATTTATCAGTCTCTTTAGTCGCTGTTATTTGCTCTGATTTCTCTACCTGTGCTACATCTCTCAATCTCCATCTTTTCTTCCCTGTTCTCTCAAGGCCTTCATCACATGAACAATTCCCTCTTCAAGGCAGAAATCAATGTTCCTCTAAAACGAGGCATGAACAGTAAACATAAACAGTAGCCAGCCAGGCCTGACAGTGAGACACGTATCCTCCACCTCTAGGTTAAAAAGATTACGCCTGGATTTTACAGTTAGGATGAGTCTCTCTGACTCTTCTTTTTTCTGTTTATATTTTATTTTTACATGATCACCAACAAATTATTTAGATTTGTTTATGATTATAGGCAACCAAAAGGCAGCAAAGATCAGAGCTACAGTGTAATAACAATTTTCTTATGAGCATAGAAGGCTCGGAGGGAGATGAAATAAGATTTTTATGTAATTAGAAAGGACAGTTTATAGCTCAAAGAAGAGAGAAACACAAAGTACTTCTTTGCCCACATTTCACTAAATAAGGTGTCTTTCATTATTGTTTTCTGTCTGTCTAGCTGTGTTTCCCCCCCTCCTCCTTTTTTTGCCTTTGTGTGGCATTATTAATGCACAGTAGGACATGCTGCCATTTGAATATTTCATAAATGCATGTAGTAATCTGCCTGTAATCACCTTGCTAACTGGCCAGCAGTGGAAGGTGTGTGCGTGTAGGAAAATAACTGGCTGGAGGGCTGTCGAGAGGCCTTTGCACAATCACACACACACATTGACAAAATAACATAAAAACAAGCTGCTTGTCATTGAGAGGCAAACTTAATAAAGATTTTCCTCCTCTCCTCTCTTTTTTTTTTTTTTTTGTAATGAGGTATCTTCAGGGACAGCGAGCAGGCGGCTCTGTGCTTTTGAAGCAGCTGTAATTCATGACACACGCCATACATCAAGTGCATAAGATAGCATTATGGGCAGTGAAATGAAAAGGGTATTTGCAACATTAGTTCCCTCATCCTGCAAGGGACGTGATTAAATGATTAATGTAATGCCCCCTTTTTGCATGCGCATTCTGAAACAGCAATTAGGCACAGGGCTAGAGAAATCCACTAGTTTGTCCCTCCCCTCTCCGCCGCCATCCCTCATCCATCCCACTCTCATTCCTGATTTATAATGAAACATTTCTGAACATTAGACCTGAAATGGTTACAAAAAGTATAAGCAGGGATGAGATGGAATGATTTTAAATGTGTGCAGTGTAATTGAAAGGTACAGAGCTATTGTGATTACAAATGTTCTATTCAGCTTTTGATTGGCAGGCCAAGAGAAGCCGGCTCAATGAGTTCTTGTTTTGCACATTGCAGATAAACAAGAAGTGAGGGGTTTGGGGAAGAGAATAGAGGAATATGTGGTGGGAGTGTGCAGTTCTGCGTGTTTGTGTATCAGTGTGTGTGCTTTTTGTGTGCCAATCAGTGTTTATGCGAGTTCATGATAATGCAAGCGTGTGTGTGTGTGTGTGTGTGTGTGTGTGTGTGTGTGTGTTCTTAGATAAAGTGAAAGCCACAGAGAGAGAGAGATTTTGTACTCCCTCTAATGCACTGGAGGCAGCGCTGTAAATGATCATTGAAGGGTCTGCAAGCTAACCTATAATTACTGGAGATAAAGTGGCAGCTCTGGCATTTCATAAGCATGCCTCCTCAAAGCTTGCTTTGTGAGTTTGTCACCAATGATCATTTAGATAGAGGCTCATTACCCAGCATCACAACACTTTAGAAACCCCTTTTCGCCCCATATTTGTGTGTATGTGTGTCTCTCTGCATATGTGTGCTTTACCAGGAATAAAGGTCTGTCTTAATGGTGAGGCTCTTTTGTGTCCTACAGACGAAATCCAATCAAGACAAAAACCCTCATTGACTGTTATGGCTGTCTGGCTGCCTTTTTCTTCTAATGAGGCGAACACACCAGATACATTTAATATGTCTGCCGCCAGATAATGCACCTTCAGTCGAAGAGCTGCTTTTGTGTGTCAAATGTTGCTGGTGTTAAATTGTGTGTATTGTTTTCGGTAAACGAAGGAGACAAAGCCGTTCTGCTGGGCTAGCATCTTTTATTCTCTGTAGAAAGCAGCGCTCAGGGTGGCACTGAAGTTAGCCATCTAAACTGACGTAGGCCTATTGTCATGTTAAACATAGCACCACACACCGTCATGTTACTTCTAATTACCTCATTTCAGAGTGGAACAATGGTTCCTAACAGGATCCTATAGATAATTGTCCCAGTATAGAAATATTATCATTAAAACAAACCAGTGGTGAAGTTGATACTGTAATTATCATCCTCCATAATTTTGATCATGGTGAAAATGAATATAATTTCCTGCCTCCTTCTAGCTTTGACATATTTTATAGATTTTTAAAGTTGGTGTGTAACAATCTCTCTCTCTGTCTTTTTGTCCGTCTGTCCCTCCCTCTACCTCCAGGCACCTAAACAGTGAACATGCCCTTGATGATCGGAGCACAGCCCAGTGTAGAGTCCAAATGCAAGTCGTACAGCAGCTAGAAATACAAGTAAGTTTTCTTTCACGTAATAAAGAGCAAAAACACACGTATATGTATTGTTACATTTTTACCATTGTCACAATTTAATATAGTGAACTCGTTTCTCATTTAACTCACTAATCATCTAGTCAAAACTTTATTTTGTGAAAGTTGTGCGAGCGAGAGAAAGGCCATACTGTGGTCCGCTTAATACTTCCAGACAAGCAGGACCTGCTGAATTCAACAAAGCCACTAAACAAAGGAATCCTCAGGCCTTACAACGAAAGCCATTATGGCTGTTTTAATTGAATTAAGCGTGTGCTTTATTTTCTCTGCTTTCTTTTTTTTTTCTCTCTTTTTCTTTCCAATTAATAGCAAGCGCATCTCTCCCGGTCTGCTGTGTTAATTAACTGCACTTTGCACCTGAAGAAAGCTCAAAAGGAGGGAACTATTTTCAGTAGGTGGAGCGTGACCTTATTAAGAAGTCATGCTGGCTAGATAATGAGAGCGCTGATTGAGCGACATTATTACTCAGCACTGCCGACAACCGCTCCTCTTCCTTTAGAAACAAATAGATATGTATGTTCAAACAAAGTGCCATCTGGAAATATTCAGTCTTCCAGTTGAAACAAGGCCTTCAATCTTTGCATAGCAGCATATTTTGGGTTCTTCTCTCTATTATTAAAATGGATCAGTATGTTAGGAATAAGATGGCAAAAGTGTAAGGTGTACATTATAAAAAGAAGCAAGTGGAGCATCTCTCCCTCCCTTGCCTTCTCTCTACTGGAGTCTTGAGGCCTGTGTTGAAGCCAAGCATTTCCTCCTGTACACCGTTATTTCCTGGTCCGATAAACAGTTTGTATTTAATTGTTAGGCATCTGGGGAGGTCTTAAAAGTAAATACATTCCATTGACATGTACAGAAAAAAAATGAATAAAGCAATTCTTTTCTATTTGATTATATTTCATTTTCTGTGTTGTTTTTCATTGAAACACAAAGCTATTGAAGCTTTACAGTGTGACCAATTACAGTGGTGCACTTGTGTTGTCTGTCCTGTCTCTTCTCTTTTCTTTCATTCCTAACTCCCACCATTCCACTCTTCCTCTTTTTTTTCCACGAGAGCCGTCACTAGTAATGAGGCCCAGTTCTGTGTGTGTGTGTAAGTGTGTAAGTGTGCGCGCACGCCTACTTGCTTGTCTGTTTCTCTGTGTGTTTGGTGCTTGTGTGTGTATATTAAGGGCGTAAGGGTGGGGGCCTGAGCCTTTCACATGGTCTAGTCCCTGTCACTCCCTGCGAATTAGATTGATGATAGGCGATGGCTGGGGCCACTAACTGGACCGGGGAGGCGGGGCCACCTGGCACCCTGTTTGGAAGACCCCTTCACCTCTCAGCAGCTGCTGGCTGCGCTCCATCCCCCTAACAGTGTCCACAGGACTTTGAGCAGACACTCAGGACCACCTAATTTATGGCCCAACTAGCTTGTTACTGTCAGAGTCTTGCTGACCTAAATTTCGCTATTGACAAAAAGATGAAATGCTATTTGTTTTGCCTGACCTGTCTGCACCCTCTCCCCTCTCCTTCCCACAGCCTCTCGTATATTCTCTTTACATCACCAGCAGTTTGGTTTATATCAAACCTTTTCTCTTTCTTTCTTTCTTTCTTTCTTTCTTTCTTTCTTCTCTCTCCACCACCCCAAATCGTATGTCTCGTATTCTTTATTCTCATTCTTTTGTCTACTCCTCTCCTCTCCTCCACTCTAATCTACTCTAATGTACTCTCTTCTTCTTCTTCTCTCTTAACAGCTTTCTAAAGAACGTGAGCGTCTTCAGGCGATGATGGCCCACTTGCACATGCGGCCCTCGGAACCCAAGTCATCTCCCAAACCAGTGAGTGCATATTGCTCTGGCTACCGTAAACAAGCTTGGCTATGAATGAGCCCCCACACACACACACAAAATGAACAGTTTAACCACCTGGCAGTTGTGGCGAGTGAGTGACAGATGATGAAAAGGGGGGAATGGGATTTGTAATATTGAGTTGCATCTGCTTCTTATCAGGTACTGTGAGCCATGAGAGGACAATAGAGTTTGGAAAGTGTATTAGATGGCAGAACGGTGGAGTCCTTGGCTAAAGCGCAGGGTCATTTCTTTTGTGATAGATATAATAGCCAAAACAACCTGTTGGCTGCTGATGACTGTTTGGCTCCGTGGCCACAGTAGCACTCAAAAGTGGAATGAGAGAGGAGAAGATATGTCATTTTAACAACAAACACCTGAAAATTACAGTTGAGTGGTGAAGATGGCGCGATGTTGTCATAAATACCCACAGTGCTGCTGAAATTGGTTACAGGGAAAAAAATCCAAAATTGTGAAAGGGGTCATTGAAGCAGGAAAATGATGTCATTTTCTTTCTCTTGCCTTTTACTTTTAGATTCAATGATTATAAATGCATTTCTCCCCACCACTATTTGAATTTAATATTAAGATGATACATTTTTGCAAACATTATTTCCTTCCAGTTTTAGACGTTTTGAAATATTTGAGAGCAAAACATTGTTAGCGTGTTTCTGCTGCTTAGTAAGTGCCTACTTTCAATAGAATAATTTCTCTCATCACCTCTCATCATAGAATGTAGATAATCACAAGATAGCATAATTATCCCATAATTCCATCAGGAATCAAACTCCCTTTTTATTATTCAATCTCTCTCTCTCTCTCTCTCTCTCTCTCTTTCTGTAGCTTTTTTTTTTTTAATCTTCAAAACTCCAGCAGCTTGGTTCCATCTCGTCCAATAAAGAATTTGCAGCCTATAATCCATGCCTGAATATGAATGAATGATGCTAATGAAGTATTGCATTACATAAAGCACACATGAAAGAGCAGCTAATTGCATTTGATGGTGGGGGCAATTCAGACAGAATTCTTAAACGAACAGTTAAGTCCTCAGTTTTAAGGCTCCCCCATTTTTTTTAAGGGGAGGTAAGATGAAGATTCGGTGTGTGAAATAAAATGCATGTGTGTATATCCTCAAAAGTGAACAGACATAACAAAAGACAGATGGTTGGTGGATTTCAAATGGCAGCATGGATTTACACCCAGTAGAATCACACAGAGACATTTTATAAATATGAATGGTCTGTGTTAGCCCATCAGGGCTAGATATAAGTCCTATTTTTTTCATTAGTGAAGCCCACGAACAACCAAAGCCAGACAAATACAAGACACCAGGGCACTGTCACCAGTATGACCCCATTTATTCCCTGAATCACCCTTCATTAAATGCTACCTTTTGGCCATGCCATGGATGGATGAGAATCAAAGTTAGCAAGGCTGCAAGTTCTGAATAATAAGATCTCTCTCTCTCTCTCTCTCTCTCTCTCTCTCTCTCTCTCTCTCTCTCTCTCTCCCTCCCAACCTTGACTGTGTATTCAGATGAGCGAGAGGTGACAGAGTGCTCACTCCTCTATCCGTTTGACTGTAATCAATTCGATTTTGCAAAAATGGCATTGCATGCCTGCAAACATGTCACGCTTGTTGCCGTGTCTTGTAGGTGAGAGGCAGCAAAAAGGACAGGAAATTATGTTTTAACATTATAAATATACATGCTTATATGCACACAAAGGCATTTATTCTGAATTTAGTTTGCATATTTCGCCATGTCTTCTGCCACATAGTGTGCAAGTGTTTATCAAATTGCCTTTTGAGGAAAATACATTTGGCTTTTCACAGTTCAGTGTCTGGTTTGGGTGCATGTAGCAGGATGTACACACACACACTGTCATGACCTCAACCACTATGAATTAAATAGCAATTTTCACATTACATACTTCCATGATTTCACTACTGGTGGAGAAATAAATTAATATTTGTATTTTAGTGGTCAAGTGTGTGTGTATGTGTGGTGTGTTTCTGTCAAATAGAACAAGAAACAGTAGTTAACAGAAACAGAAGAAGGTAGATATTTCTGAGAATTACATATATATATATATATATATATATATATATATATATATATATATATATATATGTATATATAATGAGTCCAAAATATAGATGTATATTTAGACATACTGTACATACTCTCCGTAACTCCCCAACTCTCGTCCTCATTCACTGTGCTCAGCAAAGGCCTGAATATGCACCCAACCCCTGCCTCAGCCCATCACTGTAGCAGCTCATTACAGCTAAGTGGGCATATAATTATCATCCGAAAACCCCTACATCCACCGGAGTCTCTCAAACTTGACATTTTATCGTATTTATCAACACATGCCACAAATGACCGCAGATACCTTCTCCTCAGCCTCGCTCCGCCATCTCTCAGTGCCTTCGGCCCCCCATTCCCTTCCATCTTTCAAGTCAGTTTTAATTCAAACTCTCACAAACGGATGCATTCCACTTGTAGACTCACAATTAAGGCAATTTGGTTTGAATATGTAACGATGTCATTACCATTCCAACTAAATTAGTGCAGAGACTAAAAGGTCAGTTAGGAATTTTCCAGTCGGTTAGAGCCTCTCACATGAGATTTGGGAAGCAAACACAAAAGTGGTGGAAAAGCTGGACGATTAGCAAGCACAGTTGGCATTCGTGCCAGAGGTGACTAACACTCTCTGGTCCCTAATGCTGAAGGAGTGGAGGAGACAAAGACAGAGTGAATGCAAGTGTATCTGAAGTCACCACAACTGTCCATACAGGGTTTTCATTTTTTACTTGAAGTGTCTTTTCAACCTTACTTTGAGAAAGAACATGATTTTCTACTTGTTATCCTTCCTCATGCACTGGAACTTTCACTGGATTAGGGCTGCTAAATCAACTATAACTGCAGTCTCCCATGGAGTAATAATGACTTCCAGTTGTGTTGTTGCTGATGTTTGAAGTTCTGGTATCAGTGTAAGTGTCCATCCACAAAGTGATTTAGACTGCAGTCTCAAATGCTACCGATCAAGTGAGGCTTTAAGTGTCAAGCAGATAATACTTGTTTTGCATGTACAGCCATTTAGTTTGCATTGATAATTATCCACAGGGTCTTTTAGGTAGCTACTCTCTTAAACCTCTTTCACACTGAGGTTGTGACCCAAGGGTTTTGCTGTTTGTGTGAACAAATCCACATAAATTGTCCAATTCAAGTATGGGCTTTGGTATGAAATTGGGGCCACTGGTGTTTATAGTAACTTACTTTATCGGCTTACTTAAGTGTTCAGATACAGTCATATTGAGTTATAGAAACTCTTTTACAGTACATACGTATTGTGAATTTTAGCCCACTCACCCATAAGTGCCTCTTGATCACAAAAAAATCAAATAACAAAAACAGATTGTATTGAACTCATGCCAGCACAATGCTGAAAAGAGTCAGAGATGTAGACCCAAGTTTTTTTGTTGACAGCAACAACCTGGTTCCACTTGTGACATCAAGACAGTCACTATAGTGATTTCTGTTCACCCTTTCACACCAAAGTGGAGGGTTGAGTAGGGTTGCAGTTCTCCAACAGGGTCGACCACTTCACACCTACAGCAAACAAGGTTTTTACCAGCTCATTGCCTCAGTGTGAGAGGATTATGGGTGGTTGTAGTGGGGGAGCTAGAGAAGGAGGGAGGGAGGGAGGGAGGGAGGGAGGGAGTGATAAATAGAGAGATAAAGAGAGATGGGGCCGGGATAACACAGAGGCTGATCGTTGGATAATCTTGAACAGCGTGCTCTAATTAGAATTCTTATGATACAATTTGGTGGTTGTAATTAGTGGAGATGGGCTGGCTCCTCTCCACGAGCCTTGTTAGTGGAAACACAGCTGTGTTAGAGAGGAGGAGAGCAGACACTCTGCTCTGTCAGAGAAACCACAAAATAATGCCTTCCTCTCTATCTCTCTCTCTCTCTCTCTCCCTCCCTCTCCCTCCCTCTCTCCCGGCTGCTTCTGTATCTGTCTCTTTCCCACTCTCTCTCCGACACAGCTCAACTTGGTGTCCAGCGTCACCATGTCCAAGAACTTGCCCTCAGCGTCACCCCCCAACTTACCTCAGACACCCACCACGCCCACAGCGCCGATCACACCCATGGCCGCCATGCCCCAGGTACCATCAGTACTGGGAGGAGCCAACGTCCCCAGCATGGGAGCCATGCGCAGACGCCACTCGGACAAATACTCCATGCCACTTTCGTCAGGTAGGACCAACTACTCAGCACTGCATGTCACACGCATCATACATACGTACGTACATACATACAGTACATACAGTACATACATACATACATACATACATACATATGTTTGGTCAGTGCCTGAAATTCACTTTCAAGCAAATCTGTTTTAAATGTGTTTGATAACATGTGAATCCTCAGAAAAAGGCAGCATACAAGTCTTTGAAACAAAGTCGCTTCCGACATTAAATTGCTTGAATAAAATGTGAATAGAGCCTAACACACGCACGCACACACAAGCACACACACACACACACACACACACACACACACACTAATACATTAAGATATTGGGGTGTTAAATGCAAATTGACTTGGATTAAATTCAGAATTTGTTGACTTGATTGTTTTTCTTTTAAACTGAATTTCTATTCACATTTAATGATGTCATCATGCTGAAATTGCAAATCACATGTGATACCTCAACTCAGAGCCCTGCACTATTAATAGTACTCACCCTATAATGGCTTTCTAGTACTTTTGTATTTCATGTGCACACACACACACACACACACACACACACACACACACACACACACACAGTGACTGCATATACACTGAATATACACTGAAATAAACAAACACACGACCACAGAGGCTTGTTGGTCTTACCAATGTGTGATGTCTGGTTGATTTATAAAAGCACGCCTGTGTTTAATCACTCTATATGTAAATAGACAAGAACTTCCTCTGTGCATAAATATTACATGAATGTTAATTAAGTTCAAATAATGGTGAAAAAATACAATATTTATTACATTAAGGCATTCCATGTATTAAGCTTTGCATTTTAAACGGCCTGTCTTTGATGTTTATATTTACTCTCTCTGTGTTTAGTGTGAAGACACATAAATTATTCAACTTCACCCTAACTAACTACACGGATCTCATTTTATGGATGTATTAGTATTTAAGATCTCTCACGAGAGAGATTAATTAAAAATGCATTTTGTTAGACATGGAAAATGCTGATTTGATGTGCCCCTTCTAACCCCCCCACCCCACCCCACCCTTTTTTTCTCCCCCTCTCCCCCTCTCCCCCTCTCCCCCCCCTCTCCCCTTTCTCTCTCCCCCCTTTTAATTTGATGAAACCTTGAGTAAATTCAATACCTAAAGGAATAAAATTTACCAATTATTTCAGGTGGTGACACAGTATTTATTTTTCCAGAGATCGCCCCAAACTACGAGTTTTATAAGAACGCAGATGTCAGACCGCCATTTACTTATGCAACCCTCATAAGACAGGTGAGTGGGAAATAAATTAACTTTGCCTGATTAGATTAAAATTAATTGCTGCATGAATCATGGCAGCTCGCTCAATCCGTTTGTGTGTGCGTTTGTGTGTGTGTGTGTGTGTGTGTGTGTGTGTGTGTGTGTGTCAGTTACGTGGTCTCGTTAGTAAACCATTATTTGATGTCATCTCATTTCAGGCTATCATGGACTCTGCCGACATGCAGTTAACGCTTAATGAAATCTACAGCTGGTTCACACGCACGTTCGCCTACTTCAGACGCAATGCTGCAACTTGGAAGGTAACCTTAATGAACCCTCACCCCCCTTCCACCTGCACCTCCAATGCGCCCTTTCACCCCTCTTACAGTAAAGACCACTCCTCCTTCCTGCTGAAGTCAAAAACCTCAAGAAAGCATATATTTACTCAGCCCTGAGTGATTTGTACTCCTCTCCCCTTCCTCCTGAATAGAGCCCATTCTCTCTTCTTATTTATTTTTTCCGCCATTCTGCCTTTTCTGTTTGGAAATGACAGCTGAAAGAATTATTCTGCCTCAGATATCGTTTTCTAATTTGGTGCAATTAATAGCAGAGCCTTGGCGTGGAGAGGAGAGGGCTCTGACGCACTAATTATAAAGCAGCCACTCCATCATCAGCACCTTTTGTTAAGAGAGACACCCCACCTCCTACTCCCGAAACCACCTTCTCTCGCATATCATTGGTTAATTAGGAAGAAAGATGGCTGTTTGCCTGTTAACCAGCTCTTAGCCGTGTGAAGGGGGGGGTAGGCCAAAGATGCATGCACACAGGAGCTGTCTTGTACACACACAAACACATAAACTGTTTCTAAGAGAAGGGTTAAGGGTATGTTCACGTGGAACTAAAGCAGGGAGGAAAGGGAGAATTGGCTTGTCATGGAGGGAGCACTCTTTATTTACTCACACAAAAGGGCCCATTTGTATATCTGTCCCGACAACTTTATTGTCCTGTCTGCCTTCACAAAGATGGTAAAAAATGTCTTTCCTGCAGCACATGTTTTAACCAGAAGTGTGTCTGCCTGCTGATAAAGAAAGCCTCGCTCGAGCGTCGATGTCTTCAGTGTTTTATCCCGTGGTCCCAGCACGTCATTCGTTAGCAGCCTTTAGCCTTTGTGGCTGCACAGAGGACTGGAGGGAAAACTCAAACCAGCCGCTCATCAGTATGCAAGCCATGGTGCAGCACTAGATTTAGCAAAGTGAATTAATTTGGATTTGGGATGCAAATGAAGCACATGGGCGTGTGATCACCAATTCAGGAGGGCATGCAAAAAGATCGGTGCCCTTTTCCAGTTTGTTAGGTACAGTACGAGTGAGGTTTTGCTGTGTAATAATGTTATGACAAGATATGTTCTCAGAGGTTCTGTGGCTGTTGTTACATTTGCACCACAAAACAACACAAAAACATGCCTACATACATATTTGCCTTTTTAAATGTTTTTTTCTTTCTTTCTTGGTTTTCTAAAAAGAAAAGTTCCTTTGTTCTTGTGATACAATAGCAATGATATCACAATGGCATTAGAAATATCTCGTCTCCATGTCTCCCACCCCACACAATAACCAAGGTGATCTATTTACATCTACAGCTCCACAATTCCCTTTGTAAGTATTAGTGGGATGATCAGCGATGGGCTTGTCATTTGATTAACGGAGAGAATTTGTTAAAAAAAAAAGAGAGAGAGGAAAGAAAGAAAGAAATGAAAGGTAGTTTAATATCTCAGCTTGGTCTCATCAGCTCAAAAGAGGGATCTACCCCCCCACTTCCCTCTCTCTCTCTTTTTCTCTCACCCAGAAGCTTATTAGTTCTAACTATATAGCATGCATAATAAAACTGCTCATTTGCTCATTAATATTAAAATTATCATATTCAGAGCCATGGGCATTAAGATCAATCAAATCCTGGGATTTTCAGGTCAGATGCGAGATCTGCTTATGAGTTTTTTTTTTTCTTTCTTTTTTTCTGAATCCCTTTTTCTTTGAGAAAGAGCAGTACACACCAAGCAAAGGAAGATGATAAATATGAGAGGCATGGATATTAAAGCCAGGGTTATTATTTGTAGAGTCTGATGCATGTTTTAATTATGGTCATATGCTCGTATTAATATAAGAGGGCTTTTTTTCTATAGGTTTTCCGTATTTTGCAATTAATGAAAACACCTTACTGGTTTACAGTATGACAGATATATCCTGTTCTAATTTAAATACAGCTTTGATAATAAATTTGAGAGATAATTGTGTCATGTAAGCATGTATTCAACACCAGATGTGACACCACATGGAGAATATTTGGACATATAGATGTCAGACACAGTTCACCTTAATCCTCCTTATTCGCGCACACACACACTCTCTCAAACACACACACACTGACACAAGGGCCTCCTGATGACTGTCTTTTTTCTTGCAATACTGTCATCTCTAAAGCGATGTGTCCATTAAGAGAAATGCTTTACCGGAGCAGAAAGGGTTACTGACATCACCATTATCAAGGCCGGCATTACCACTTCTGTCACCACCATAAGCCATTCGCTATGCTGATTACCTCCTTTTAGCCTACTTACTCTGATTGATATGTACTGTGTGCAGGACTTGTAAGAGCATTCGCTCTCACTCAATTTTTACTAATTAAATCAATGGTGCGTGAATGTTGAGAATTTCTTCAAAATGCAAGAAAAAAAATCAATTTCCAAGCCTTCTTCTTCTTTTTTTTTTGTACTTGACGGTTAATGAATGAATATGATTAGTTTTTACCTCATCCCTCTGACCTGTGTGTCGTGTCTCTGCAGAATGCCGTTCGCCACAACCTCAGTCTGCACAAGTGCTTTGTGCGCGTGGAGAACGTGAAGGGGGCGGTGTGGACGGTAGATGAGGTGGAGTACCAGAAACGCAGGTCGCAAAAGATCACAGGGTACGGATTCTGTCACCTTGCTTCAGATCTTGATCTGAAGGTCAATGACATCTAGAGGATCATAAAGAATCAAATTCTGCACTGTTCTTTGAAACACACCTCTCCCTGTGCCCTTTTTCCTGTCCATTTCTTTCTTTCTCTCTCTTTGTTTATACATACTGCACAGTCTCCCTGCTGTGCAGTATGCTCTTTAGTTACTAATGTTTGATGTATTGTCTGTTTAAATTGTTCAGTCATTGTGGTTTTTTCTTTTTTATCCAGAAGCCCATCACTTGTCAAGAACCTGCCCTCCAGTCTTGGCTATGGAACTGCACTAAACGCCAGCTTACAGGTATGAACCAAAAGCCTCAGAGAACCTCTGACTCACCAGCTGCCTGTGTTTTTGTATTTGACTGACAGCCAGGACTACTGCCTGACTGATTGACCAATTGAGTGACTGGATTAGTGTGGTTGCTGTGAACAATAGGGCTCCACATTAGTACTCACACTCATAAGAGCAAGTTTCTTTTTTTCTAACTCCGGTTTCTGCCTCTTTCTCTGCTCGTGTGTGTTTCTGTATCTCTTCTCTCGCACCCTTCCTCTCTCTCTGTCTCTCTCCTTTTCCCTCTCTTTCCTGTACACCGTCAGACTCAGAAGGCCACCCTGTGGTCGAATCAGGAAGCAACTCTCCATCCTTCTTTCCAGTTCTTTTTCCCTTCTTTCAGCTGTGGCAGCCACCCTAGATTGATAGCGGCATGTGCAAATGCAAGGGCATGTGCATTAATATTTATCTAAGCTGTCATAAATGATTTGGCTTCATAGTGTACGCCGGCGAGGTGCTCATGGCAAAAACTTTAAAAATTTAATCACTGTATATAACTTTAATGCGCAGCAGGCGAAAGTGTCAGGAGTTTTTTATTATTTTGAGGTAAAGTTTGGGGGGGACTTTTTTTAATAGCCACACCACACAAGGGCATATGAATGGCAGCTGGGGGCAGGTAGTTGTCAGCAAGGTGTCATGGGGAAAAATAGCCTGAAACAGAATAAGAAAACGTAAGCATGAGACAACTGTGTTTTAATAATTACTTTGTTAAATCTTACCACTCTCTCGCCTGTCACTTCTCCCACTCGTACCACTCTTTATTCCTCATATCCTTCCTCCATCTCCCTTCAACCCTCATGTAACGCTCACCTGCCTCGTACCAACAACCCTCATTCAAACTCTAATCCCCAACATTGCGTCTCCCTCTCCCTCCCTCCTGCAGGCTGCCCTGGCAGAGACCTCCCTGCCTTTGCTGGGGACCCCCGGCCTCATGAACAGCGGCTCCACGGGCCCGATGGGCGGCAGTTGCCACGGCCTCCTGGGCGGCGACCCGTCCGGCCTGATGGGTGGAAGTCCACCTGGACTGTTGGGCGGGAGTCCGCCGGGACTGCTGGGTGGCAGCCCCCCAGGTACGCTGAGCGGCAGCCCCCCCACCCTGATGCAATCCGCCCACGAGGAGCTCAACGGCTCGCTCGACCACCTGGACACCAACGGACACAGCAGCCCCGGATACTCCCCACCAGTACACATGTAAGTTCCTTCAGATGGACGAATTACTCCTACTGATGATTCTGTGTATGTACTGTACGCACTGTAGCTACACACAAGCATGTATATGATAATTAGGACTGTTTATATTTAAAAAGAAACATTTTTTGGTGTTACTTATGATTATTTAAAATTTGAAATAAGGCAAGGGAAAATATAAATGTAGAAATGTCATTTGAAGCTTATATACTATATATGAGGAATTCCATTATCTCTTTACTTTGCATTACCAGTATCATTTAGTGTGGTCAACATTGTCTTCTTGCTGTAAGACACACAGTCTTTATATGTATGAGTACATCACATCTGGTTGATGTTCTTTTAAAACAGCTCTACTTCTTTAAAAAAAAAACATTTGATCATTGGTGAATATTAGTAAAATAAATTATAAAAGCAACCTTGATAGTGCAACTGAATGACATTAAAACTGGCCAGTGGTTAAAAAGGCGGCCCCTAACCCAAACTTCACAGACCCACACACAGCTGATAGAGTCCACTGACACCCAACAAAGTGGACTTATTATCCTTTAACCCACGGTCCCCCCTGCTCACTCACTGCAGTGTTTGAGAGATAATTGTGTCATACACAGACTTACATTTTTGAGTAGCTATCTGAGAATGCAAGCACATGTTCAACCCCACCCCCCCTCACACAGTCAAACACACACACACACACCGCTGCTCCTACACTGAAATCGCTCACTGTCCTTTTGCCCTTTGTTAGTTTAATTGCCTAATATTTAACCCATAGTACCGGTATGTTCTTCAGTTTGCCATGACCCGAGGGCAAGGTTCAATTCCTAGCATGTATCATAAGCAGACCTCTCTTTCTGTCTCTGCTTTGGTAATGTTCACTGGCACTACCTGAGGTGAGCCTGACGTTTCAGATAACAATTAGTTCTAATTCTATAAATAGGCTCTATTACACATTCGTTTTTAATTACTCCACTGTCTGCATTATAGGGGTTTAGCTGCTATATTTTATGCAAGACTGTTCCTATTAATATTGAGCAAGTGTAGCATTAATTACTTTTAAAAAAAATCTCTCCCTTTCCCATCTCTGTTTTAATGGAGCTAAGAGAGAAAGAGAGTGTTTTTAAAAATTGATGCGTGAGTTTCAGGAATGTCTGAAACAACCTGAGCCAGTGATGTCACACAGGTCTGCATGAGCCCGCACTGTGGTGAAGATGGCATGCAGGGAAACACACACACGCAGGACACATTCTCAGACAAACAGAAATTACTCATTCTCATCCGCTGCCCATCAAAGCTCATGTCGCAAAGTCAGCCGACATCAGTGAACCACTTCTGTAATGGATAAAGGATGCACTCAGGCTCCATGCCTCTCTCAGAGTGTATCTGTGAGAACAGAAGAGCCCTACCAGACGTCTATACATTAATCTATTTGGACGTGTTTACCCCTCTCTGAAATGGGGTGTTAAGTGGAGCAAATCTGCCCAGCTCTAGACAGAATCCCAGTGTTACCACTCCCCCAGGTCATTTAAGTTTTAGTAACCGGACAGCATTGACTTTCCCTTTCTTGCATGCTTTTCTCTTCTCTCTGGCCATGCCGCCTTGACACCGACATGAGTGGCTATGGAGGACGAGATGCATTCATCCATCCCTCTCTCTCCTCCCTCCCATCCCCGCCTGCCTTTACACCGCCACGACAACCCACCAAAATGGAAGAAATGTGTTTTTCATGACCGGCTTTTCCAAGATGTTGTTTAAATAATGGAGTGGCTCGTAGCACTAAACTAAATAGTACATCACCTTGAAGGCCTTTCTCAGGAGAGGACTCCTCAGCACAACCAAGGCAATCCAACAATTAGACAAACCACTCCTTCCCCTCAACGTCTAAAGGTTAATGCTATCTGCTTAACCGCAAACCAGATCGCCCCAGGCCATGCTGGGTGTCTGTGTGCGCGTGTGTTTGCGCGCGCCTGTGTGTATGCATGTGCAATACACTCATGTACACCCTGAGGGGTATGCTTAAAAGTAGTAGTACTGTAAACCAGGAAAGACTAAAACTGTAAAATTAGGGTTTCCAACATGAGTAAATTAGCAACTTCACACATAATGAGGAGTAGAATATTTAGCTCGTAACTTTATCGCGTACTCCGATAAAAGCAAATAAAATCTGTTTAATATCACTCTATTTTATCAGCAGTCACATTTAATTGTTTGGTGACCGCCCCTCTTTGGTGTTAGTTAATGAATTATAGTGAGATGTTATGAATGTCTTTGATTGCCCCCCCCAAGTCCTCACCACTGCCTTCGCCTCCCTTTCTTGCCTCCGCCCCCCTCGCCACACCACCTCTCCTGCCCCCTCCCCCCCCAAACCCACCATTAGGCCCGTGGACTAATGACCTTATTTGCATCCCTGACATACCTCTGCATGATTGCTGGTGCTAATCTCCAATTGATGTGAGAGCAGGCATCTCGAGAGCACGCACACATACGTGGCAGGGCACCACGTATTTATTACACTGCAAAGTCCAGCGTTTACTCCTGAGTGACTCAATAATGGCAGCTAGCCATTAAGTACTAAATGGCTCATCCACATATTTTAATAAAGTGTCAGAAAGCTCAGGCCTGTGAATATGGTCCTGCATATTTTTCTTCAAAGCTACACAAACACCTAATGAGCTGCATATTAAAATAACAGCAGAGACCTTTGATTTGTGATACATGTCACATTCAGCCGTGTCAGTTGATCAATGTGATGTATTCAAGTACACACTGATTATGATTTTTTTAAGTAATGGTGACTAAAAGATGATCAGGATCTTTTTAGGAAAGCAAGTTCTCTTCACAAAGCGAGGCGGAAATTTTTTCTGTATGAATGTATTTGTCAACATCTCGTCATGTCGGCTCCCATAAGCGGAGGCTGCTGTATAAGCAGATAATAAATGACAATATGTTAAAATACATGTGTAATGATATAGAATGTCTTCATAGGAAAAGTTATAATTGTTGACAAATACTGTACATTAATAATCACTCAAAAATGTCCTTTTACTACATTATAGTGTGTTATAAAGAAATTATTAAACCATTGTATGCTGCTTATATATGCTAAATAATGGGACCTCTTATGAACTAGTTACTGTGTCCCTTTATCCTTAATCATTTTGTTGTTGTTGTGTGTTTTTAGGCATCAGACAGCAGCAAAGATATCCATATACAAATGGTAATGATTATTTTTTATTTTGGATTAATTTGTCAATTTTATTTCAATCAAATGTTTTATCATTTACTCTATAAAATGCCATAAAATAGGAAAAATATGTCCAAACTGAAGGACTGAAGTCTTTTTTACAGTGAATTTTCTGTTAGTCTGTTAAGTATCATTAAAGCATTTAAGTTACTATAGTATGATTGTACTTTATGCATAAAACAACAGAACCGAATGAGCTTCTTGTTAAGAATTACTGTTTGCATTCAGTAGACTGTATTGCCAGGTCAGAGGGAGCAGAGTAACCTCTGGCTCAGGGGTTTTTCTTTTGCCTCTCGCTGCCTCCGTGAATCTGAGGGGCAGAAACAGAAATATTCATCGCTCCGCTTGCATCCTGCTCAGATCAGCCTTCTCTCTTCATCCCACCACATCAGAATATTAATTTACAGTATTTGGCTCTGAATATTAAAGTCATCTGTACCTTTTAAAATTCTTTTCAAATTCAAAGACCCCCCCCTCCCCTCCTTCCCACTGATGAAGGCAGCCCAGGAGAGAGGCTATGAGACGAGTCCTAACGTACTACCACTTGATAAGTCTCCCTCTCTCTCCCCACTCTCCCCTCTTTCAAAGTCTAGGGGGATTTTCTGATGCATCCGATGTGTCAGAAATAATTAGGTTTTGTCAGATTTATCATCGTGGCACAAACCCCTCTCCCCGACTAGGGCCCCAGATCATGTTATGCCTTGTTTGTGTGTGACAGCATTATTATTCTTGTTAGTCGCCCAACACTTCTTCTTTTTTTTTCCGCCCACTCCTCTGTTGTTCTGAAGGCAGAGGCGTCCTGCTCACAGCGCTGCTTCTGCTTCCTGCCCAGCGCTTATTGACAATGGCTAAAGATATTCATCCATTTAGAGTTAAAAACATGTATCATGGTGTCCGAGCGAACTGCCGGGGCTGAAGTTGATTAATGGCAGAACCTAGCTGCCGGTTTTTCCTCTTGAGGAGCGACATGCACAGCCCCTGCATATTAACGAGTGGCTGCGCTTTCTATTAACTAGATAAAAAAGCCTCTCCTCTGCCTTTGCTCCAGGGGGCTCAGGGATGAGAAATTCTCCATTATTTATCATGTGGCCTGTTTTTTTTTTTCTCCCCTTTTTTCCTTTTTCATGTATTTCAACCTGGTGTCATCAGTAAACTTTTAAATGCCAAACATGTCTGGAACATCACAGCTTATCGGCCTTACAGGGGCCATGTTTTTCATACAATTTTCATGCGCTTACTTACAGTAGACGTGAGGCATCATGTCGAATTAGCGTCTCGCAAACAACATGGTTGTTACTTTCACAAGATAATGCATGTAATGGATGTCTGGTTTTTGATGCAACAAAATATTTATCTGTTATCTGAACACCACATTGTGTATTCCATGTGCAGTAAAGGAAATTAATGAACAGATTCCTTGATCTCTTTTACATATTATTTAATAGTGGCAATTATTAGCATTACTATATTTTTTGTTTTGGTCAAAGCAGTGCAGAATTTGCCATCAAACATAAAAAAATCTCCCATTTATTGCCAATGTGATTGTGTCACAGGCCACCTGTTCACGTGAAGGAGGAGCCACTTAACATGGATGACGACGACTGTCCGATGTCACTGGTGACGACAGCCAATCACAGTCCAGAGCTGGACGATGACCGGGAGCTGGAGGAAGGGAACTTATCAGAAGACCTGGAGTGACTAGGATACAGTTTTTGGACGACGTATCCCTTCACCCAGCCGCACTGTTTCTCTCACACAGACCTCCTGCAAGACTAGAAACCACTCCACAGTCCAAGCAACCACAGCTGACTCTCTCTTTGTCTCTCTCACCACTGGGACTATTTATTGCGCATGCATCCGGATGGAGACTGGTCCAAAGGAACTCTTTGTTGCAGCCCTTTGGGATCCCTAAACATGACAGGCATGAGATGTCTGATTAAAAAAAATTAACTCTCTGAGACCTATTTCATTAGAGATGGCGTGGCCACATACAGTAAAGGATGATGGACTCATGGATGGGGGAAAAACATGAAACAAATGAGCAAATCATGTTCCGTTGAAAGCTAGCGGCCTCATATACTGCCAAAAAGGAAGACGTTTTATGTTTGTGAATAATCCAACCCCCCAGTAGTTGTTAATGTCTAGAGACAATTGCTGGTTCAATTCAAGTTGTTGCTCTGTTATCATTTGCACAGGAGTAGTCTCAGAAATTTGTGTCACTGCCTGTATGTTGCTACTATTATAAAAACCAGTATATTATTTTTAGCTCTTTTTTTTTTTTTTTTTTTTTAACCATCGTTAATTTCCAAATATGATTTTAGACACCACCAACTGTAAATGCCATTCCCTAAATCACACCAGTAACGGAACTTCGGTACCAAAACTGTTGTTGCAGCTGTCCAGAAAAAAAAAAAAAAAAAAAAAAAAAAAAAAAAGTTGGCTTCCAGTCTATTATCTGTTTGTGATTAAAAGTTAAAAAAAAACTGGAAATTCAGTTGGGGAAAAAATAATAGTTTGTGTAAAGCACCATTTACAAAACAAATGCATTTCTGCATCATTTTCTCCTTGCTGTTCTCCTTACCTCCTCGTTCTAAAGCTTTGTCTACCTGCAAACAGTCACAGGCAACAGCTAGAAACCAAAGCCAACACTAGCAATGGCCAATAGCTTATAGACAGAAGCCACCAAACTCCTCTTGGTCCGTCTTCTGTGACTTTAAACTAGTACAAAGAGAAGCTTTTGTTCCGCAAACTACCTTCGAATAACCTCTGGGATTGTTTCATTTAGCCCTATACAAAGATGATCACGAGTTAAGAGAGAGGGGAAATAAATGCTGATTTTGATGTGTAATTTGATTAACTCATAGAACGTCCACTTTGGAGATTTTCTGCCAGACGTACCGTAAGTATAAAAAAGGTGATGTGATATTTGAACTGCAGGCATTTTGTGCTGGTGATTTGACTGGTAGAGAGCAGCTAACTGTAAAAGTGGATTATGACCAAAACAAAACATTTGTGTATTCAATGGAAGTGCAGAAACATTGTGTTGTTGTGAAGTTTATTTTAAGTTTTTACTCTTTGTTATGCATTACACATCAAAAGTCATTGGGGTTTTTTTTTTAATGATTTTTTTCTAACCTGGTGAATATGTAATGTTCTAAGTGGGACTGTCAAAATAATGTCACGTCTTATTTCCGTGGCGGTTTTGTTTCCGAGCCGCGTTGAAACCGAAACTGAAAACATCGCTAACCAAACATGAAAAATATCTAGTGAAGCCAAATAAGTCATAATTTCAAGTTGATATGAAATGATGTGGCTTGGTTACCATGTAAAAGCAAATAATAATAGCCATTGCAGAAGAGGATATCTAAGGTGAGAGTTAACCTTTTCTAGGTGATATTTGCTTTAACTTGTCATCAAAAATACTCATTGTGTGTTTCATAGCTTCTAAACTCTACAGATGCAACCGGTGTCAGCACTGATGTACTCTGTATAGGTAGCCAGCTTTTTATAACACACTTGGTATTTATAAGAAACTAAAGAGAAGTAGTTATTGTGGAGACCACGTCCCATCATTTCCCTCACAGCTAATGTCATCTAGAAAAGTGTTGTTGCTTTAATGGTCATTTCTGTTTTCAGTAAACCAAAGTTACACAAAATTCTGCCTCCTCTTGTATGGGATAAAGAAATGCTCAAAAAAAAAAAAACAACCACACACACCCTGGCAGAGACTAGCATACATGCGCACGTACAGACACACACACACATATATACATACACACACACACACACACACACACACACACACACACAGACACGGACCCCGAGCTTTTGCCAACTTTCTCTCCAGCTGCAGAAAATGTACGCTGTCAAAGAACCGACGAGTGGCTTTGTATCGTGCTGTAACGAGCAATGCGTCTGCCTGCTTTGACCAAAGTGGAAACACTGTGCTTATGTTGTTTTCAAGTGTTGTGCCAAGCCAAGGAATTGGCTGTAAGAGCTTAACACGCAGACACATGCAGTACTGTACAAACACACAGCATGTCAAGTACATACACACACATACACACACACACATATATACCAGTTCCACGTCAAGAGGGTACTGGGCCCAGGAACAAAGCTTATCCCTTCAATACTTAGCTGGAGTCAGCAAAACGACTTGAAGACAACGTTCTTAATAATCTTATCACACCAAATAAAAAGGACGTGGCGTCTTTCAAAAAAAAAAAAAAAAAAAGGGTTCTCCCACTTACCCAAAAAGGCTTTCTAAAAGCTTCTACCTCTGCACAACAAATTCAGAACAATTATGACAGATTGCACGAGTTATTAGAATGCCACAAGAGCTGTTACACTTTACTACGCTTGTCTCATAGGACGTGGCTCAAACCAACGTTTACATTCCCTGCGTCAAGATATGGAAGATTTGCATTGTAATAGGTTGTCCTCAAACATTTGTAGAATGATAATGTATAGATTACCTGTAAGGGAATATTGTGTTTTAAAAATGCATGTCTAAAAATCATTTGGTGGACTGGAAACAAGAACCAATAAAAAGAATATAATAAAAATCATCGGGACGATGGCCTAAATGTACGTACAATGCATAGGAGTGCATTACCTCAGATATACTGTTTTGGGAGGGATAAAACCTGTCAGCCACAGAATGCATATTACCTGTAGATTTGCATGGGTTTTGTATAAATTAAGTAAAAAAATGTCTAAAATAGTTGCTTGCACATAATACCAGAAAGACCTCCAGAACTGCGATCTGCTCCTCCACTAGATTTTAGGATTGTCTGGATTTTCTGGGTTGATTTTGTCTGTATTTTGATAACTGTGCATACTTATGTAAAAAAATGTTGGTGGACCCATAAATTTACCAGACTTTTTTCTAAGAGGAAAAAAAAATCTCAGTGTTTCTTTTCTGACTTACCTGAATTTTTACTGTTTCTCTCTCATTGCTCGCTAAGAATAGCAAACCTGCTTTTTCTGCATCTGCTTTGCGTAGCTGTAAGGCTTAACCTAATGTGTGTATTTATTGCTTGTACCTCTGTGCATACTTTATGAAGCATTATGTCTGGCAGTTGAGTCATGTATCCTTTCTACTGCTATCCTTCTCTAATAATTGGGAATATGATCCCCCTATGTATACAGTAAATTGGGACTGTAGCAAACATATGTTTATGTAATTGGTGAAAACTTTTTTCGTTTGTTTCATTTCCTTTTGATCGAGATTCAACTACTTTTTTTGATACTTTTCATTACTGTGTACTGTGTCCATACTTTAAAGGTTCTCTGACATTAGAAGGTCATGGTTGAGAATTGTAACAGACGTTATTATTTTATGTATTCATGGCATTTCACTGCTGAATAAAATAAAGGACCAAAACTTGGAATTTGAAAAGCAACTGTCTACCTCCAGCATCAGAGAGTATTTCTTTTCCCTCCACTGTTACACATATATCTTTTATTCTACAAAGGCACAGCCATGAAAATCTAGCTGGCATTACACTTTTAACGTTTCAGGAGCAGCTACTTCAGAGATGTGAAGGAAGGGGTTTGGAAAAAAAACAATTAAAGTTTAATGTATATGTTACAAGGCTTTGTTCCAGCTTGCAGCACCTAGAGTCTTGTTTAGAGGAACGGGACAAGGCACTGTCTTGCCCACCCCTCTGGACCTGTAATGGCTTTAGCCTTTGTATGATTCAACCTCACTGCTTTCATGTACCACAAGCATGTCCCAGTATACACGGAAGTACTGCACTTTGTAAGGAGCGACTTCCCCCGGCTAGGATTCATTTCTGGGCTACATACTGCAAAAGTGGTTTTGGCACAAACCACATTATTAAGTCTGTTGTCATGCTCATGTAAAAAATATCTGCCTTATTACCATCGAGGTTCTGCATCACGTAGAGAAAACAATGATGTGAAATTTCAACAGACGTCTCCCAATTTCCATCCATCTTCAAGACAGCAGTTTCCTCTTGACACTTCAAAAGAAAGAAAAAAACATGGCTTTTAGCCTTTTTCGATTGATGGATGTTGACTGGTAAAGCGCTATGACATGCCGTGTGGCTAAATCAACTCCAGCAGGCCTACCACACCTTGTCGGTCATGGAGCAGCCACACACTGACACCCTCATTGAGATTCAAACTGAATCTACCATGACCAATAGGTTGCCCATTAGCTCGTCTGTATGCCGAGAGCCTTCTACACGTTCCAAAGGGTGCTCAGGGACATCGTGGGACCCTTTGAATCATGTCCGCTGGTCATTTAATCGTAACGCTGATGCATGTTCTTTTTTCCTTACCATATGATGTCCCATGAGAGGTCAGAAAACAACAGCATTTTTCATAAAGGCATGCAGCAGACACACTTCTCTTTCTTTCCCCCCCCAAATGACAGTCCCAGGCATCAGCCATGGCAGGCTCCTGTTATCTCGTCAGCAATGGCGTTCCAGAGCATTAGCTAGCTCGCAAGGCGCTCGTCTTCCGTGCTATTTATGCACTTGGAAGTGTTTGTGAATTCAAGTGAGGGATCGCATACGGAGTGCAACAAGGGCCGCTGTGTACTACACAACATCAGAGGGAGCTCCGACATTAAAGTGTGAGAGCGCCTGCTATAGACCCTTCTTTCAAAGGCCATGAAATAATAATGGGTTGTGGTTAGAGAGGTATCCGTGAGTCACACTGGCTGCTTTTCATAAAGTGGAGTTATTTACAGTACGATGAATAAAAGAAAGGGTAGCTGGTGGTGCAAGCCTTTTCCACATGAATGGTGGGGGGAAAGAAGGCCCTCTAATATACAGTGGCAGTGCAGTACACTACATGAGAGGCTGGGAAACACTGAGTGAGTGTTTTGGAAGCTTTAAAGCAATAGTTAGACATTTTGGGAAATATGCGTATTGGCTTTCGTGTTGAGTTGAATGAGAATATGGACTCTCATGCCTGTACATTAAATATAAAGCTACAGCCAGGACACTTAGCTTTAGCCGAAAACAGGGCAAAAACAGCTTGCTTGATTCTGACTGAAGGTAACAAAATCCATCCAACAGTACCTCTACAGCTCAGCAGGCCACATCGCGTTGGGGTTTTATAGGGGGTTATGTGTTGCGTTCCTTTTTGTAGGGATTAGACGTGTTCATTTGTGAGAACAGAGCTGCTGTTTCCCCGTTTCCAGTTTTTTATTTTAGGCTAAGCTAAGTGGCTGCTAGTTGTAGCTTCATATTGACGCCATGGACTCGATTGTTTCACTTATTCGCATTCTCAAGTCTGTGCCGTCAGTATGAAGGTACCACCAGAACCCTCATCGTTTAGCACAAATGTAGAACCTCCCATAATGCCACTGTGATCTTTTTTACTCCATAATATACAAGCTATAACGTGTTCATTAGTGAGCTTTAGACGAAAGGTGCGTTTTGTCTTTGGAAGGAGCCAGGCTAGCTGTTCCTAGGCTTTCCTGCTAAGCTAAGCTAACTGCTGGTTGTAGTTTTCACATTCAGTGCACAGACTTGAGAGCGGTCTCATTCTTCTCGTCTAACTCTTGGGAGAAAGCGCCTGAGTGTATTTCGAGCAAACTATTCCTTGAACCTCTTCGACATGTATCTCAGTATATCTCGGCACAACAGTACGAGGCCAAATGGCTTACATCCTGCCCTTCTGAATTAGACAGTGCATCCTGGCATCATTCATTTCATCTCCAACACTGACCAATTAGGTCAATTTATGAACCGTCCCCTTGTGGGATTGGGTGGTAAATATCTCACAGTCTCACAGTTTATTGATTAAGAGTGTCGACTCTCTCTCCCTCTGTCTCTTCCTTTCTCTCTCTACCCCTTCTGACCTGACGATGCGTGTCGGCTCCCTAGAAGACCCTCGCCCCCAGGCTGCAAAATTGCCTGCTAAATAGTCCGAGGCAATGGCAACGCTAATTGAGATCATCATTATTATAATTGCGAGCCCTGAAAAGCGCGTCTTAAATAATTTGCATTGCTCTCAAGTTGATATTGGACGCAGTGCAAAAATAATTGCATAGCTCGGAGGCATGATGCTCGGTTCGGTGGTGGGCGAGGGGACTCATGTGCCCGCTCCCCGCCCTCACCCAGATCCCTGTAGTCGCCCAGCCGGTGCCGAGTTGGGTGCCACGAGGCGTCGTGCTCCACATCAGATGCCATCAGAGGAGGTCACGTGTTTGTCTCGTCAGCAGCGGTGGAGTTTTTTTAGTGCATGTTTTTGGTTCGGGTTAGTCATGTTTTTGCCCAGTTTTATGTAAAAAAAAAAATTAAAATAAAACACCCTCACAGTCAGCAAATCTTCACTCAAATCAGAGGAGAAAGAGACAGCTTTCGAATAAGAACATAAAAACTCCCATGAGGTCAGACTTCTTTAACGCTTGTTCCAGTGTTGTGTTTTCCACCGGTCACCGCGTTTTAATGTAAACCCGAATCCAAACTCACCTGCCCCTTTCGCCACACGTCTGATTTCCCCTTCTGTCGAAAGAGCTGCTGAGATAGACGAAAAACTATGACCTCGATACATAAAACTTCACTCATCATTACATCAGAGGGACCTGACGTAGAGGTACTTTTTCTTGTGTGTGGATGTGATGTGCAGGCACCGGTGTAATGTATGCAAGAGACATGCCTATTTCTCCAACTGAAACAAGGGATTAACCCAACAAAATGGTGAGAAACTGCTGATATTCATGAATTCTTGCCTGTGGCATTATCTACCACATACACACACACACACACACATCCTATCAGGTTCTCTCTCCCCCCGTCATCTCACATACACACTCACCCACACAAGCAGGGAGAGATTTGACAATAGCCCTAATGAATATGATATGGTAACATGATATAGCTCATTATTTGTTTGCTTTATGCCTTAACAACAACAATAACAACCCTCCGAGGCTGCTTTTTGCCTGTGAATGAGCACATCAAACGAGAGAGAAGGGGGTAGAATCAGATTAACTAAATCCTCTTAGAAACAACACTCCCCTCAAACACACTCTTTGCTTTATCGCCCCTCTTTTTTTTTTCACCCATTATATCTCTCTCTCATATTACTTTCTTCCCTTACATGTTAGTTGTGATAAATCAAGCTGTTTGAGGTGGATAGCACGCAGGTGGCTGGAGAGGTTATGCTGGAGAAAAAAAAAATCCCAACTATCATCTTTAATCCATGGTAATCACCTCTGGCCTTAATCACCAATTCATAATGGAATTTATAATGGAATGATTTCAATTACCTACCACCACCGGCACCACTGAGTTCTGCAATTAAATTAGGACAATGCAATTGTATGTCTTTGTCTCAAACCTCAATATGTTTATGTTTAAGGAGTCTGGTGCCCCCTTTTTCTTGTTATTTATGGAACTTCTGAAGGAGAAGTTTGGTCTTGTCCTCATGGAAAAGAAAGACCTTTTCTTTTTTTTTTTAAAGAAAAGGAAAACCTTGGGAGTTGATCATGTGGGGGTTGGTAAAGAAAAAAAAGAAATATCTAGCATTAGTGAGGAATGGTGGGTTAAATCACTTACTGAAGATTTTTAATGACATTTCAGTGTTCCTCGTATAATTACTCTTCATCCGAGATGGGCCGTAATGCTGTTGGACAGTCGCGGTTCAGGCTCGCTAGCTCGCTTCATTAGCGTGTCATTCCTATTTCACATCAGAGGCTTTAATTGTAATGCTGAATATGCACAGCTCTCCACAGAAGCCTAATCAAAGTGGATCCACTTGTATTATTAATATCAGAAATCAGCCCGCTTGCTATTTTTTTATAAATAAAAGAATACAGACGCATAAATCAGCTGTCATTTATTAGCATGGCCCTGGCATATCCGCCAGACATGCAAGAAGAGCAACCCCACCTCATCTCCGTTCCTCCCTGCATCACTCATCAAGATTTAAAAAGAATAAAAGACAGAGAGGAGAAAAGGAAGAAAAAAAACTGCATTAAATATACATACTAATTCCTCCATGAAGTAATCAGATTACAAAGCAGGTGACACTGGGTGCAAAGAATTTGGATGGCTGGCAATAACGAGGGGATGGAGAGGTTCACTGGGGGAAAGGACAGAGGGATTGATGGACAAAAAGAGGTAAAAGGTGGGGAGGAAGAAGAAAAGATGGGAGGATTGAGGATTTACATTCAAAAGCAAACAGCAGAGGAGAAAGAGACTACAGTGCAGAAGAAGCAATGTCTTTGAGGAGGGCTGGATGAAGACTGAGAAGACTGAGTGCGTCCCTGTGCAGGTTGTGCTGACCAGCTATAAAAACCAGCTGTGTTTTGGATCCTGTGGCAGCGAGAGTCAAAGTGCTGTGAACCGCTAATCCACATCAGTGGAGAGCTTTGGTGCTGATGCAGATGGCACACAGAGAAATACCTGCTCTGTCTCTG